GCACCCTGTGAATCACAGTACCATGAAGATGAAGGAATCATGGAATAATTGGGTTGGAAGGAGCCTCAAAGTCCATCTACTTCCAACCCCAGCCACGGGTTGGGTGCCCTCAGTACATCAGGCTGCCCAGCGCCCCACCAGCCTGATCTTGGGCACCTCCAGAAATCGAGTTACCAGCTGCAATTAATAGCAGGATGATGTCTAATTAATAAATGGACACATTGCTAATACTCAGGCTCCCACCTGAGTATCTCTGAGGCAGAGGTCTTGTGTGCTCCTGAGCCACAGAGCCCCCCAGCAGCACTTAGCTTGATATCTTTTATTGGTTTTTTTTTTTTTTTTTTTTTTTTTTTGACCACATATCCTGTAAGCTATCAGAAATGCACCACAGAGCAGGATGAGGGGCAAGGGGCAGTTTTTAAAAGCATTTGAGACTGTTCTTTTCCCCTAAGAAAAATGCTACTTTTGCAGAGAGTAGAAGTAGAGCTTACTAAGCCTTTTATTTTTAACAATACAAACAGTTCTAATCTGGGGACTTTGTGCCCTGACTCTTCCCTTCCTCATCTCACCCACAGATCTTGGAGGACAATGCTTCCCCTAAAACGATGATGCCTGTGTCAGTTAAAGCAAAATACTTCAAGCGATGTGACTGCATCCCTTAGCTTGGCCACAGAATCTTTCCCTTCCTTCTATTTCCCTTCTTGGTTGAAGACTGGAGATGAGGAGAGTTCCCTTTCTACTAGTTCTCATTTCAGTCCCTCTGCTCCTTCCATCTGCCTGCACCCACATGAGCTTCCTTTGTATCTCCAGCCCTCCATTCCAGCCTTGGTGACCTCCCTGTTGGGTCACATCTGAGCAGCACGGAATGAGCACATTCATGAGGTCAGGAGACTTCTAGCACCACCCCCAGGAGATGTGCATGGTGAGGCAGAGCCAGACCATGCCACAACCATAGTCAGGCAGCAGCAGCTCCGTGCTCCCCTGGGAGCAGGCTGTCATCACTGCAGAACACAGCAGCCTAGCTCCTCACCGTGCTGATGGATTGCAATATCCTAACGGGAACACATCGCTTTCAGGGCTGTAACCAATATACAAGTCCATTGGCAGCAGATGTTATTAACGATGCCAATACATATTTTCTTATTAATCTTCCATACTAGGCTTGTGTCTATCTGCAAATGATTATCATTCATTTTCCTGACAAATCTATCAAGATCATTTATTACTGTTCAGCAAAGGATCTTCTTTTATACAAAGATTAATAACATTGCATTTTATCTGGCTGGCTGAGCCAAAGGAAATGAAATTAACAATGAACCCTACAAACGTGTCATCACTTTAATTTACCAGAAAATACTTAAAAATGTTATTTAAAAGAATATACGCTACAGTAGGCACAGTTTATTACAAAGAAAAGAAATGAAATGCCATACATACATTTTAGCAGGAGAGAAAGTTAGCAAGCAGAGCTGTGTTGTCTCCGGTTCCTTGTGCTCATTTTGTGGGCCAAAGGGAGCAGGGCATGCAGGCATCAGTGCCCAGGGGAACCACAGCTGGAAGTTGCTTCTGGGCTCTGTGGTGCTACCCAGGATCTCAAGCTCTGATCCCTGCAGGCAGCATTGCCCTCCTGTATTCCTATGAGAGGAAACTTCTTCGGGATAGAACTTACAGAGATCTGAGGGAGAGAAGGGGACATGGGCAGGTAAGCGACTCTCATGGTCGCTACTACAAAAAACACACCTGTGAACTTACATGGCCATGCTTCTTTTCTTCTGCTTTTTCTGCTCCTGGGTAGGGTTATTCCCTTTCTTACATTTGAAAAAAAAAAAAATCAAAACAAATGATAACCATACACCAAAGAATGTATCATACGCTGCCTTTTAGTGCAAGCAATAACAAAAAAGCTTAATGTTACCATCGCTTTCGCACTGTTTTATTTGTTTTACGAATCTCAGCTCGGAGCACAGCTCTGGTGGAGCCCCCACCACCGTGGGACATTCCTCAAGTTTCCAGTGCTGGCCTGAGGCATCCTAGGCAATGGGATCCCACAAATACCACAGCTCATGTGCCCGTTTCCCACCAGCCAGTGCTTCCAACACTGGCATATTATTCCTCTTCCTTGCTGGGTGGGGAGAAGATTGCTTAAAATAATTTTGGATTACGTAGTCAAGAAGTGTTTCTCCAACACACAATAAAAAGCCAACTTCTTACCTTCAGTGCATTCATCTTATCACACTAAATACAGGGGCAGAAGCAATGTTTTAAACACCAGACAAGAGAACAACCCTGCTAACCCTGAGCTTTAGCAGTTTCAAAATGCTGACGTATTGGCAAGAAGATTTCTCAGTGTGCATTTGTGCATCTCCAGGGAGCAGCACAACCACATGTGTTAAACCTGCTGGCGTTTAACCAAACGCTTTATCACTACACAAAAAAGTCTTCCTGAGTCTTTTTAATTAAAAAAAAAATCATCAATATTGTGCAAGTCTAAATAAAATTTTAACACGTGAGAAAAATATTTGCCATTTCCCAAGTGCACCTCAGCCCCCAAAGCCATGCATTTTTTCCTCCCCAGTGAGTTTTGAAACTCCTGGAGTTAGAAAATGATTCTGCCTCTGAACATACATACACCAAGCACTGGGACTCTTCAGAGACTTCTAAAGGTTTCAAATCATTCAAGTGCAGCAGGGCAACCAGCAGCTCTTTAATTCCTGACCGAAAATCTCACATCATGCCTTCCCTCCCCGTCTCCAAGTTTCCAGCACCTCTGTCTATTCATCTCCATCACAGTGGATGGGAGATGCTATTTCAGCAGGTGCCATCTGGTCAAAGGCTGGCACCAGGTAGCGATGTGCTGCTCAGGCAGCCCAAGATGTCAGAAGCAAGAACTGAAATATCACGCAGTGCAGTATTACTGATAAGCTGTCCAAGCAAGACCAGATGGCACCACTGCACCAAGGACAACGAGCAGAGATATTAAGATGTCAGAGTATGAACCCAGTCAGCATGAGCTGCTAAAGTTTGTGCCATTTGTGGGCACAGTTTCTGCAAAAGAAGTTGTCCAGGATCACAGGGCAGAAATGCTCCTGGAGAGGGCACATGGACAATGTGCCACGAGCCCCAGGATGTCCCATTAGCACACGGAATACTCAGCTCCTACTCCATGGGACTACTTGCAGGCTAGGCTAGTAGCACTCAGCACTGACTCGGTGACCATGGGTGCAATTCCTCTGGCCACTTTCTGGTTTAGAATAAGCAAACAAGCAGGCTCTACTTTTAGGCCTGGGGGGAACGAACGCAGCCACCATTTTAAGAACCCCATCTTTTTTGTTGTGTTCCTTCCCAACAGGAACGCTGTGCAAAACATTCAGCCCTCACTCCTTCCCACAGCTTCCACAAAAGAAGCATTCCATTTAATATGTGAGGCTTATAACCAACTCACGCAGTGCAATAGTTCACATCAGTTTGAAGGAAAAACATTCTGCTGGAAGCACAGGCAAGTAGCAGTGTCAATTTTTCATTAACCTACAGCCACTGTCTCTGTAGACTTCCAGCTCTAAGTAAGATTACTGTTATAATTTCTTCTAGTCCCAGAGGGAAGGGGAAAAAACTTCACAGAACTTTTAAGGTCATTAAAAAAAACCCAAACAAACCGCCTTTAAATCAGAGGTAGTTTCAGTTTACTTTTATATTTCAAAATCAAATCTTAGCTTCAGCCGTACATCACAGCAGAAATGTCAGATGCTTTGTTTCGACATCTTTCACGAAAGAAGTTCCGGCTCATACATGAGCTGAATGCCAAGTAAATAGATTTTCCTGGGGAACAAAGACAGCTTTTCTGTTTGTTTTAAACATATGTAAATAAGAGTCCCAGGAGCGGAGCTGCCTGTCACTTCCACCAGGTTTGCTCTCCTGCCACCCGGGCAGCAGCCCCAGCCCTCGGCCTCAGACCTCAGCAAAAGGAGAACGGTTTAACACACATTCCTTTTTCTCGCTTAGCGAGTTTCTTTCTTCTTTTCCTCCTTTTTTTGATTTTCAAGCTCTAGTTAAAGAAGGGAAATGCAGAACTACTTTGGCCCTCTGTCACAGTCACTGCAGAGATGCTGAAAAGCATTTGGCAGATAAGATCAGCATCTGACAATGTATGACTGCTATCAATAAACAGTCAGGGCTGTGCTCCCACATACCAGTGCTGTATTAAAGACTGATGGTACCTGCTAGCTTACAGTGGGCAGGGAAAAAACTGAAATAGATTGCTAAGAAAAATGACATAAAAAAAGAACAACAAAAACATCCCAAACTGAAAAAAAAAACCAAACAAAAACTCAACAAAAAACAACCACAAGGACACCACCAGGATTACTGTCTTTTCAGTACCTGCCATCTAAACAGGCTGGAGTTATTTCCCACAAAGTCAGGAGACAGCAAGGAGGAGCACAATCCCTTCACGTACCCATCTGCTATTACTCACATTTGTTTAAATTTAATACTAACAGATCAGCGCAAAATTAAGAGAGCTTACAATGCCTGTCACTGCCAAATGGCTCGCGCTGTATCTTAATCTCCAGCACTCATTCTGGGTGTAACACAGGCGAGCACTGAGGGCTGTGTCACTTAAAGGCCGTGCATAAGCCACCATTAAGAAAAATCCCCAAGTACACAAGAAGCCTCACTTTTGATTGGGCGCGTTGCCGTAACTTATTGATCATTCAAATCACTCAAGTATTATTCAGTGTTTTCTTCTCCCTGCTTTTTTCATCTCTTGACAAGTTTACAAAGACAAGAATGGAGCAGAGCTTAGCTGCCTTACATGCAATATGCTGCCTACACGGACGCCAGAGAAGCAAAATGAACCCCAGAACATATGGCGCTCTGCTGACAGAGCTCAGAAAGCAGTTCTGCATGAGCAACAAGGAACATCTTGAAACGCACAAGACATATGTGTTTTAGGAGGAAGATTGAAGTGTTTCATAATAAAACAGGACAAAGTGAAATACAAGCGCTGTATAAAATTTTAATTAAAAAACCGGTTTTACCCCTCAACGTGAGTATACAATATGCTTCACAGATGGATTTCATATTTAAGTATTACCCGAACCAAAAACGTAAATGAGACAAATAAAGCCTTCAAAAAATGGCACAGAGGCTAAAATGTATGTAAACAGTAGATGGCTGTGGTGAAAACAAGGCAGACAGGGAAAGCAACCTCTTAGCAAGTGTTCACTGGTGGAGTGCTCAATGGGACAGTTCATGCAGCCATAGTAACTACGCCATCGGTGCAACATCCAAACAGAAATTAGTCAGTGCAACAATACAAATATCTGTGTTAGAATTCAGCAGTGTGAGTGCTGCTTTTGTTACCTCAACATCTATTTATGGGTTCCACAGTTGTTTTGTAGACTGGTATACAAATGCAGAAAGCACAGAAAGCCTTTCCCCAAAGCAGTCCCAGATCCCATCCCTGCCCCATCTAATCGCAGTGGTTCCATGCCGTCACACCAACGTTTGACTAAATAAGTTTCCATAAGGAGGAGGTGGTTCCATATGAACCAAGGGGGACCTTGTTTAGTAACAGCAAACACCTTCCCCTGAGGAGAAGAGAAGGCAGCTCAGACATACACACCTCACATCTCACTTGTAGAGAGTTCTCTGTCAGAAGCAAACACCCAGAGCTGCATGGAAACAAACACAAAGAAAGCGCAGTCTCCACATTGATCAAGAAGGGAGGATGACTGCAGTTCCTCCATGCTGTCAAACAGACAAATTATCACTGCACTTCAGAGAATTTCTCTCTGAAGACAAACACAAGGAACAAATCACATGTCTTTGGCAAGCCAACACTGTTAGCAGAAGGAACTACAGCTACCACTTTTTAAGGGTTTGGGTTGATAATACTTCCAATTCCATGGGCAAGCAGCAGAAATCAAGAACAAGAAGTTCCACCAATTTAAAAGTTTCCTCAAATTTCTTGCCCCCTAAAAGATCTCTTGATACATTGTCAGCATCCTGATAACAATCACTCTGTAGCAGCAAAGTAATTAGTTTAATGGTTAGGTTTTCTATGACCCAGAGATTCTGCACTACAAGATTCATAAGTAGCCACTGCTAAAAAGCTAAGAATTTTGCTGCATAGTTCAGTGTTCCAGAAAACACTTTTAAGTTTAAAAATCGGGAAGATCAGCACTATATAACAGGCTGTCCCTTACACCATAAAACCTTTCCCTTTGCCAAGTTGCACACACCACTGCACCCCCTCAGTTCTTGGGGAGGTGATGAAAACAAAGCGATAGATGTTAGCAGTGCTGGTTAGCATACCATGAAGTGCAAGCATGATGAACCCAGATCATCCAAGAGACATAAACTGCACAAAATGTCCATTGTGGGAAGGTCTGTAGTGGTAAAGCATCGTCTTTTTCAATAGTTTTACGAATTTATAAGGTTTCTACCTTGATAAGTTTAAGACTTGCTTAATAACTGCCTTATTAAAACATAACAAATCTGGGAACGTTAGAATAAGGACTTTTTAGTAACCTGGAGATGAGATGGGAATTTTCAGCCAGGCTTCCACAAGAAAATTTCAGTAACATTCTCTTCAGGATCCCAAAACACTTTACAGTCATTTAATTAAGCTTCAATAGAGCACAAACTTCCCATTTTACAGCTGAGGTAATGGTGAAAGGGAATTTAGCACAGACTATTTAATACTGAGCAGAGCAAAAACTTCTGTTATTTTATCCCCATAAATAGGTTCCCAACCCCAATAGGTAGATTTCTTTCTATTTTGGCAACCTACTAAGTAACAATACACTTCAAACACGATGTACAATCTAAATAACAGCCCTCATCTTCAAAGCCTCTTCAGATCTGGCATACAAACATGCCACCCATTTATTTCATAAGGCTGTTCCTTACTCCATCCACCCCTTTGCCTCCTGTCCCCAGCAGACCAACTTAAGCTTCCCTGCTTCTTGTTGAAAACTTTGATAAGGCAAATCATTAATAAGTCAGATATTTTTTTTTGCATTTAAACCACAACAGGTCAACGACTAAGTGATTTCCAAAGCAACTGCTACTCAGCAAAGGATTTGGCATTCAGCCCAATAAGTAGACAAACTATATGCCTAGTGAGCCATCCCAAGGTCCTAAGCTGTATCAAGTTCTTTGTAGGAAAGGGAGCATGCTGGAAGTTGGCTCCGATTTATTAAAATGAAAGTGATTAAAATATTACACTGATTAGACTGCACACTGCAAGCAATACTGGATGCTGAAAAACATTTGGCGATAATACACATGGGTTATAATAGCTCAGGGAGGGCAAGAGAGAGAGAAAGATTGTACAAAAAAAAACCCCCACACACTAATTCTCTCTTAATCTACCCCATTATTTCTAGATTTGAGTAGGCAGCTTTCCTTTAGGAGGTAAAATGATGGAGGTGGAATGATGCCATCCCAATGTCACTAACAGACCACTTTGTGGATGGCAAAAGATAAGGAATGAGCATAGAAAATGCTATTTAAAGCTCCACTCAGGAACCTAGAAATTTGCATTTGATAGAAGGGATTTAAATTGTATTAGAAGGCAAGGTGCACTAAACAATTACAGTTTATTACTATGTTGGTTCGCTGCCTGAACCTATACTTATCGCATGCTGCAGTAGCAAAGGAGCAGCAGTGCTCAGTGCACTTGAGCTGTATGCATATTAATTGGAGGGTTAGCTGAGCAAACAGGGAAGGGGCCAAAAGCTTTTAAAAAACAAGTGGCTTGCAGATTTTATGGATAGATAGAGTACTTTGGGTTTCAAGTCACATTTCACAGAATAGCCTTCCATTAACCAAACTGGATTTCCAGCACAGTGCTTGGAAGAGAACTGTGCAGTATCACAGCATATAAGCTGTGGAATGACTCTGACCCAAGAGAGAAACATATCCTGCAGCAGCTGATGCAGAAAGACATACACACCATCCCTCTCCGCAGCTGGAGCAAGGCCAGTGACACTCAGAGCCTATCTGCTTCACTTGTTATGCTGCATACAAAGGCTTCAGTGAGAATGTTCATACTGGTCAGAATTCAGTATATGACACTTTCTATTTCTCCCATCTAGTTTTAGTCCGTGATGAAAAAAAAAATCAGAAGTTGTCATTTTACCATATGCTGTGATTATTCAGTTACATCCTCTGGATCTCTCCAAAATCTTTTCCTAGTTTTTCACAGTGGCCTCCAACCTCTCTCATCCCCTGCTTGTGCCTTGAGCTTACTTTCCAGAAGCAGCAAGACAGAAACCATTCCTTTCTGATCTAATCTGGGGTCATGGGACTGATGGAATACCAAGTACTGGTAACACAATACTCCATGGCCACCATGTCTTCAGTGGCATGGCTCAGGTTAAGTTTTTCTTTTCGCATCTGCAAAAAACCAAAAAAAGCATACTACTTCACAGAGTGCCTCAACAGTTATCCACAGAGTAAGGCTGTGCAGCTAATACCCTTTGAAAGCACTAATGTGTTAAATGGCAGCAGGGACAGGAAGTGATCAGTGTTAATCCACATCAACGTGCTTAACTGTTACAAGGAATAGAAATGTCTGCATGGAAGACACTTCCTCTGAGAGCCCCCTTTCCTGAAGCAGAAGCACACAACCTTCCAGCATGCTTTCCCACCAGCATAATTGCTCACCAACTGCTTTCTCAAATCAATTACATTGTCTCAGCATTAAAGGATGGAAGGCAAAGTAGACCAACTTTCTGTTTATCTAGGCATGCTGGCAGGTAACAATCATATGCTCTGCCATCTGTACTGCAAGCTTTATCTTTTATCCAATCATAACAGGTAAAATGCCATCGGTATAACTGAATCTGTTCATTTAGTTAGGGAAGGAGCCAGAATATGCATGTGTTTTCCCCCCCTCCCCATTCTAAAAGGGAAGCAGAGATGGACACTCTTGCCCTTTTAAAGCATTTGGCTTTTCAATAGATGGGCAACTTGCCCTGGCTTGCTAATGTGGGATCTGTTCAATGCAAGGCTGAAAAGGTTCCATCCCTTGGGATAGCATTGAACCGCTGATGAACATTTGGTGGCCTTTAGCAGAAAGGATGTGATTTCTGCCAACAGGATCCCAGAAGGCTGGCAAGGACAGGCATCACAATCCAGGCACTTCAGAAGGCCTGTACTGGATACATGAGCTTGCTGACTACCTTGCTCCAGTCTTTCCCCCTCCCCACTCCTTTTCTATTAGTATTTTAAAAAACTACAATTATATTTGCAAATGTCAGGACTGCATTCAAGAAAGCCTGGAAACTTTCAAACACGCAGGGTAAGTAAAGAAAGCCTTTCTTCTAATACAAAGACTGCTAATCTGGGTAGGTTTCTTCTAAAATTTGACATTATTTGAAAATTTGTGACTAAAGGTGCTTGAAACCACTTTGAAAGCATGCCTGTAGGTCACTATTGGAGTCATCCTTCCATCCTTCTCAAAAACAATCCACAGCTGATTTTCTAGAAAACAATTCAAGTTCTCTCTTTCCCAGAGCAGACCATTTATATCAACACTCACACTTACCCTCCCCTTCAGATACCCTCACTGAACACTAGGACTTATTGCTTCTTATGTTGCTACATAGATTTAATTATTTAAATCATAATTGACTGCAGCTGAAACCTGACCTACGTCAGGCAGGAACATCCAGCAGACATATTAGTCTTTAAAATGGCTATCTTCAGAGAGTCTCAAAGGAGCAACACCACTCTCATCGACTGCAGAGGGGCTTAGAGCTTTTTTTGCTGTTGTTTGTTAGTTTTTTTTAAATTTGGAGCAGAGGTGTTGTGGTGGTGGGGGTGCTGCTAATCGCATTCATTTGGCACCCCAGACCAAAACTCCATTACTCCAAAATCCTGCCCAGCCATAACTGCATCTTAAAAATAGAGTACAAATACTTGTCACATAAAAAAAAAGTTTTGCTAAGAAATATCAACACTGTGTACTGTGCACTTCCAGCCGAATTGCCATCAGGAGTATGTTTTTTGGTCTGAAATAGTGCCAGAAGCTTTTCGGTACATGTTTCTATATATTTTCGCAAGACTGTCTTCAAAGATTGCTCTGTGAGGCTTCCCTTTGTATACAGCTGCACGGTTAGACCACAATTCACCATTATCCAAGTGAACAGTGATGTTCTGCTGCACTGGTGAACTGTCAAAAGAAAAAAAAAAAAAAGAAGAAATAATGATCAAATGAGATAAATGAGAGGAATTAGAAGTACAAAGCCAACAGAAATCCGAGCGTAAAGCTGCTAACTACAGATTACCTTTCACAAATAGAAACAAAATCTGCACTGCAGCTATTCTTCAGAAATGGGAGCCCACCCCACATTTTTCATTCATACACAGTCTCCCTTACCTGACCATGTGCACTTGATAATACCTCCCAAAAAGAAGGAATTAATTCTCAAAGAGCATGCAGTCATTATGCAGTATTTTGATAGGCAGTGTGACTAGGCACTGAGCCCATGCAAGAGCAACACAGTTGGATTTCTGTGTCCTCTGAAGGTCAAAATGCAGCTATTTCAATATGAAGACAATCTATCAGGGGTATATTAAATTACTGTGGTTGCAGCAGTAAAGTGCTCTATCGGAAGCATCTTGGATTAAGTATTCTACCAAACACATTATGACATAATGGCAATCAAGTGCTCCCTTTTCCACCCCATCTTATTTGTCACCATTTCAAGACCAAACGCAGTCTGTTTACTTTGAGAAATTATTTTCCTTATCTACAAAATAAAATTTATTCTCTGAAAATCATTACAAAACATTGACAGATCCAAAGCATGTATATCTAAACTTCCTGACTGTGTGCCTTCTCTTGAGACACTCAAAACAAAGGATCGTGTTATATAAGGAAGTGAGCCATTTTCCTGTAATACAGCATGAAACAAACAGATGAAAAATCAACAGAAAATAACTACTGAGGTGACATTTGTCACATATGCTCAAATATTTAGGCACTTATGACACTTAAAAATTAGGACTGAGTTACCTTCAGCCTTTCAGTAAGGTTCTCAGTCTAGGAAAAGAAATGGGAAAAGCAAAGCTTGTGGTGACCATTCTCATTTGGGAAATGGCTTACATTTCACAGGGAAGTTTTAGACTGTGTTACATAATTTGTTGATCTACTATCATCAAGCCATTGCTCAAAACTTTGTACTTAAATTTGTACCAGTCAGCATATATAATAGAATTGGAAGAGGGCTTGTGTCACAGGACTCACAAATACTTGTAGATAGCTGTTTTAAATCATAAGGTTTTCAATTTAAGAAAGAAAAACGTGAGCCAAGAAGATCAGTAGTATGAGTGTGCTTTTTTTAATTCACAGATCTAAGCTTCTCTTCACCCACAGAAAACAAAAGTAGTATTATGCTGATATCAACTAATACCTCATTTAAAAAGATTTCTATAAGCCTGCAATATCAAAGGAGGAGGAAAGGTCAGCTTCCCACTTTTGCAGATAAAGCCTGAACATTTTAAGTCAGCCAACAGCACGAGGAAAATTTAAACCTACTCATCATCCTGGAGAGGGTGATCTGCTCACTACTGTTTGGAAGCAATGAAACCAACCTACCAAACGGTAAAATCAATAGAAAAGTTATATTGGCCTACGTTAAATGTAGACAAGTCAATGCTCTGGGCACCCATCAATGACTGAACTTTTGCTCCCTCATTTCCTCAGTCTGGGTCACTTCAGTTTTGACACAGAATTCTCAATCCAATAAATAAGGACGGAATTTGCAAATGTACATAAACAGCTCTGGCATCATTTTCCTTGGAGCTCATCTCCTGTAGTCAGCTTTGTACTTTCATTTTCATCTACTGAAAGCTTAATCTACAGAGAGACACTCAAAATCCAACCAATTTAACTGCAGAAAAATAAACTCTCTAAGGACAACAGCAACTTCCACAAACTCCTTATTCTGCTTCTAACAAAGAATTGAAAGCATGCATGCTTTAGCTTTGTTTTAGTCCTTGCACACCAGATGCTTAGCACTGGTGTGGACACAGAGCCAACCTAAAGAGTCCCCTCTCTGTCTTGACTGGAAACGAACTGACAACCTGAGCTAAACAATCTGGGAATTACACTCACAAATCATATTAACAGCAGGATTTCTGCACGCAACTCCCTGCTCTGAAATACCTGTCAGATGCTTTTGTTCCGTCATACATCTCCTTTAAGAGTCCCAGAAGTTCTTTTCTGAGTGAATCATATACTAAATATTTCACAAAACATGGACCTCTTCCTTACTCCCAGCGGTTCTGAATCACCTGCTTTACTGCCAACGTTTGGTTGACAGAACCATGTCCTTCTGTGAACTCTGTCTCCGTCCTTGTCTCCTGTTTATGAGCACTGTGGTGAACGCTCAGCAATCAGACTGTCCTCGAGTCCTTTTATGCCTCGCCCTTCAGTGAATGGGATTAGTGCTGCTGGCCTCTAAACCCAAGGAATGGTCTTTTCCCAAGCTGAGTGCCACATTTCATAACCCATCACTTCTTGATTCTCTAGTATTAGGATTTGTTTCTTCTCTTGTTCCGTTGTCTGCAGTCTCAGCATCAATCTCAAACTCCCAAAGCTGCCTCAGAACAAAAACTTGCACTTTCTCTCTCAGAAACACATCCTACACAATTTAATTGCAGCATCTCTCTGCACAGAGGAGGCAAAAAGGCTACACGCAGAATACAAGAGTGAGCTCAGGTAAAGAAATGCTAACAACTTCTGCAGCAGCTCCACATCCAGGTGAAAACCCAAGACTAATTAGATCCCTTGCACAGAAGAAGATGCAAATTATGGGAATTATAAATCCAACAACTAAATGAACTTTTTAAAGCACACTCATCATAAGACAAAGTTACCACTAGCTACACACTGAACTAACCCTCCTTTTCATGGAATACAGAGATGATTTGGGAAGACTGTTAAAAACTTTGCAGTACATTTAATTAGCAAAGTAAAACCTCTTTTTCCCCCCTCTAGTGTCAAGCTCTCTCAAATTCAGCACCATAGTTCTAGGAGTTCTACCATAAAGAAAAACAGAACCCACACAACCCTAGAAACGCTCTGCATTATTTTATACCTTTCCTTCAGCAAGTACACAAACAGTAATACAAAATACCGTGCACATACATAGAGATTATCAGTACTGAGAACTTATACAACAGAAGTGGACAAAAGAGTCAAATCAACTGGTGCCTTTTAAGTAACATTTTCAAAAGAAAACCTAGTTATAAGTGTGAGGGCAGCAAACAATAATTAACTTATAGAAGCAAGGTGTTCAAAATATCTTCTGAAATATGAAACACTGAATTACTAGACCAAGTCCTATGTATTTGCACCCTTTTTTTATTATTTATTTATTTATTTTAAGATGCTCCTCTTTTCCAAGCATTTATTTTGGAAAAAAAAACAAATAAGCAAATTATCCACAAGTCTTATCAGTGAAGAAGCTTAAAATTACTTTTGCATTCCTGTAACTTTAAGATAACCAAACAGCTACTTTTTAAGTTTCAGTTATTTACTCATCCACTGATAAAATCCTGCCCATGGACCATTTTTATGACCAAATCCAGTAATAAAAAAAAATTGGAATTTAACAAAGATGATACTGACACAAAGCCAAACAGAATGAATGGTATAATGATAGTTAACTGTATTTTCCTTTTAGACAAAAAACCTTGCTAAATCTAATATGACACAGCTCAAAATAGGAGGAGAATTTTTTTACTATTATCTAAGGGGCAAAATAATGATGGTTCAACCCCATACCTGCTCTGCAGATCACTTAAGGATAAGTGTGCTTTATGTGAAGATTGTCTTGTCTTAGTCAAGTTTCCTTTTGATGAGTTACTTTCATCCTAAAAAAAAAAAAAAAAAAAAAAAAAACAAATCAAATTCTCATTACCTTGGTTTCTGATTACAATGATCTCATTTCAAAACTACTTTCTTTCCACTCAGAAAACTATTAAAGTGCTTACATTTCTTGGGGGGAAAAAGGGACAAAGTGTAATGAGCCAAATGCTATTTATGAACATTTTTAATTAAGTTCAGCGCAACTCAGCTAATAATTCTCAGGTAATAAACTGGAAAGAATTTCTAGACATTGTATATCTAAAGAACCATGCAGACAGCATAAGTTTCAATAACCCAAAAACGTGGGTTAAATGCTACAAAACCTGCTGCTAACTGCCTTACTTTTGTTTCTTGCAAAAGATGGGAGAAAGAACAAAAAACTTACTGTTAACAGCTCTGCCACTAAGCTACCATTATTCATGTAATGTATTTTAACAGACATGTTCTACACATCTGTACATTTTCCATTCCATATGCAGGGCAGAGAACATGCTTAAATGCTTATTTACCCCTCTCAGGTATGCATGAGATAGAATAACTCTTTTGAAATAAGCTAGCTGCCCACCTGAGGTAGGATGGGAGAAATTTCATCCACACAAATACAACCATGTTCACTCTGCTCTGAAAGGCAAGGACGCTACTGAAGGGAAGGGATTCAGAGATGTTTGTAGCAGAAGCTAATTGATGCAAAGATTAGCAAACAAAAATTACCTTTCACACTACATAAGAAATAACTTGAAAACAAAATTGTGAAGTTAAAACAATCAAACTTGTTGCTAACACAAGTCTGGGAGAAAAGACAATAAATAGAGTAGTGGACAGCAAGAAGATGCAGAACAAGCTGAATGACAGGAGTGTGGATGTGGAAAAATCTACCACAATTTATTGCATTGCAATACAGGTAATAAGCATGTTTGTAAACAGGAAAACTCTTCCTTCAGCAGTCACAGGCTACAGAGTACTGAATAAAGATAATGGGGTACAGCAGTAAATAAAACTCTTCAGCATTTGCCAGAGGCAAACTATGTTCTGGAAAGCAAAAAAAAAAAAAAAAAAAAAAAAGGGAACATTATGATACTGCCAGAATGTCACAGTGGAAAGCTACAGCAGACACCCTAAGGAACCTGCAGCAGAGCTTCGGTCACACTATTTTTACAGAGCACTATGGAAACAAAATTTTGGAAAACACAGATAGATGCTTCTGGGAATGGTTGTTTAGCATTACGTTCTTCAGAATAGAACAGTAAGAGATTTTTTTTTTTAAAACTTTCAAAGTTTGGAAGAGCACCCAAACAGGAGCCAGAAATCCACTCACCCCATTGCAAGTACATAGAATCACCAAGGTTGGAAAAGACATCTAAGATCATCCAGTCTAACCATTCGCTGACCACCAGTATTTCCCACTAACCCATGTCCCTCAGTACAGCATCTAAATGTTTCCCTACACTTCCTCTGCTAAGCCCTCACTTTCAAGATGACCCGTTTACCTCATCCATCCCCTGCATAACAGCACAGTCTAGATTTGTCAGCTCACAATATCATCATTTTTGGATATGAACTGAGAAAGATACAACACAAACTGGATCAATCAATCTTAGCTTGCATAAGAAAAACCTTTTTCATGGTTGAAAATGAAAAGCACATCAACTAAACTGAAAATAAAGATTGACCAGAAATGAGAAAATAATCAGATTGAGAAAGCAGATAAGCAACACAAGTCGCTGCCCATGATGGCTACAGATTGGGAAATAAGTAAATAATCAAGACTTCAGAGCCAAGGCAGATGTTTTTCAGTACATCATGCAGCAACAAGTCAAGACAACAATCCTTTTCTTTTTTTTTTTTGCCCCAGGAGTTAATGGTAGTTATTGCATCTCTGTCAGCAGACTTCAATTGTTGGTGCACTACTGGTACACCTACTTTCTCTTCATGGAAATGCGAGGTGGGGAGACTAAGGCTTCCCCATCCTTTATCATGCCTCCTATATACACAGTAAACTCTGGCAGAGGGGTGAGGTGGACTGCTGGGGACAACGCTCCTTTTTCTAAGAAAGCTGAAGCAAAGAAAAAAGATCTTTCCCCACTTGAGAGGTTCATCTCTTTGAACCAATCAATAACATCAGTGCAGTAGATTGTCAGACAAAAAAATAATTCAGAGCTCCTTATCTCTACCTTACCTACTCTCACCCTTATATCCTTTTACCTTTCCTTTACCTCATCTCAGACTTAAGACCCCTAAATTCTCTGCAGATGAACAATATTTTACAAATGCTCTGCTGAGAGAAATCCTGTGCCAGGAGTGGGTTTCTCAAAATTGCAGTGGCAAAAAATGTCTATCTGACTAAAATCAGACTTCAAAATTCCATCAGACTCAAGGACAAAGTATTCTGATCCCAGGCTTAATAATGTTAGATTTCATTTAGAGCCAGGTAATTAAAGGGAGGAAAAAAAAAATCCACAAACAACTGGAGAATAATATTAGCTCTACAAACAGCTGGACACCAGCAGCTGTTTATGTGCAGATGCACAACATGTTAAGCCACGGTGTTCTATAATAGATCGCTAACATTTTTTGCTTACAGTGAAAACAGTGGAATCAGATATAAAGAAAATGTAATTGTCCTCTATACCCTTATGAGGTTGCCACCTGTCCACAAGAGCTTCACACAAGAAGGTTACTGAAAACAGTGAGAAAGAGTTCAGCTTACTTACTAAATTCACATTTCTAAATCAGATGTGCCTCAAAAAACATCACTGTAATAAATTCAAGAGTATAAGCACAATTAGTTCTCTTCCTCAGTCATCTTGGAAAGTAGAAAGGACTCAGTATTCAAACTTACAAACACTAGGCGCTGTCTAGCACTGTGTGTCCTTAAAATATTTTTCACTCTCTTATGAATCTCATCTCCATTTGCTGGTGGAGGCCAACCAGAGTTGAATCTGCAAGAGGAAAAAAAAAAAAGAACCACAAAAAGAAGAAATATTTGCAAGTTAAAAAGCTCTAACATACTTTTCACTTTGATTTTTATTTTTTTTTCTAAAAACTACAAAGCATGCATAGTTTCCTTCTATTTGGAATGTACGCAATGTTTAGATTTGATTCTTTTTTTCCTCTGGAGTACAAGGAAATAAACATTTTGAAGCACTGCATAAACAACATGCATCTACAATTCCAGCACAGGATACAAAGCACAGAAAACATTGATGATTTTGTAACAAGTAATATTTTTGCAACGTCTGTTTGTCCCTACAGAAGAGAAAAGCCATACAGTTATGCTATTCCCAGTGATCAGGTTTCATTTTTCTCTTTTTAAAGCAAATACTACATGCATTAAATTCTTTCCACTGGAATAAATCAACAGAAAGATAACCCCAATGCAAATAGGAAAGCCCACAGAGTTCAAAAAATGCAAATTCACAATCCTGACTTCATAGGAGGGAGCTACATATTAAGGCTTTTTTTTTTTTATATATATAAAAAAAAAAACAAACATCAAAAATAAAAATAGTTTGCTTGATTTGGGCAACTTAAAACCCACAGTCACTTTTGGATCTTCTTTTACATTTTGCAGATCTTTTCTTCACCAATTTATTCAAGAAAGAAAAAAAAAATAAGGTTCTCATCCTTCTCAGCAAGCTCAGAAGCTGGCAAAAATTTCCACGTTATTCTCAGACTACTGGAGGATGCAATCAAGATTTTAAGAATAGGGTTATTTACACTCCAACCTCCAGACTTTAGTACACTCAAATATGTATTAAAACCAACCGAAAAACAAATGAGAAAACACCAAGAATGAATTCACTGGGGAAAAATGAGTTGGGAGTGTAACATGTAAGTAAAAACATCATCAGAGCAAATAGAAACAGGGTGCCAGATCAGGTTCAAGTATCTACATTTCAGTGTTTCCTAGCATCCAAGAACCTGACTTGCTCCAAGAAAATAACACAAAAACTCGTGCTAAATATGAATATTATATATGAATATACATATATGAATATAAGCAGCCAGCTGTAGATCAGCTGGACTGGGGCTGTGAGCCTTTCTGTCCACTTCTCGTATCTTCTGTTATTATACAACAATACAAGAAGAAAGTGAGCAGTTCTCTGCCTTTGCTTCTTTCCTTGTCCTGTGTATAATTAACGCAGACTCAGTTACTGTTTACCTCTCCAAAATCTCTCTATTCTAAACAACCCCAATATCTTCAGCCCATTTATGAGTTTCCTTAAATCAAATAATCTATTTCTGAACAATTCTATTTTTCTCCAAGAAAGAGTGCCAATAAATGGCACAATATTGTGAGGATGAATCATATAATCTATAGGGGGGATCTATTTTCTGGATTTCTAATGACATCCAACAGAGTTTATTGTTGGTTCATTACAGGCAAGGGTTTTCAGAGAGCTGGCTATAAGAACATCCATATTAGCATCCTAAACATTTTCAATTAATTTCAAATCCAACAGCATGTATGGCAAATCCATACAGTTCAATTACTTTACACATAGAATGCAAGGATCTGTTGCATTAAAAGTCCTCACATAATTTTTCCTACAAGAAAGCAAAGTAATATGTGTGAATTTTGTTTAGAAAGCATTGCCTTTAAAGAAAATAGAGGTCTAAGTCATTTAGGCAGGCAGGAACATTCACTTCTTAATGCAGCCAAACTCAGTTTGATGGACAGCGTTATGAAGTGTGTGCTGTATCACCAGCAACATTTTGAACAAAACCCCAACCCCGTGGTCATGCTAAAGCACACTACTTCAAATGTGCTTCACTACAACAGATCATGCAGGAATGAAAAAGCTCTTAAAAACATCTCTAGGCTTGCAATTAGCCCTTACAAACACCAATATTACAGAACATCCCAAATGCATGTTTAAAAATCTGCATTTGAGATGCAGTGAGTCTTTTCAATTTTTAGGAAATGAAAGCTAGAGTCATGAAGTCATGGCATTTCCCTCGTATTTATACAGTGGCTGCTGTTCTTCCAAATCCAGGTTGCTGGCAGTGAGAAGTTGGAACAGATTACCTTGGGGAAATAAATTTTATGAAATTCCTATGTAAGATTTCACATCATTGTTATTAATCTCAAATTTACAAATATCCTTGGAGATATGTGCATTTACTTTTGAAAAAAGAAAGCACAGTTTGCTACTATATTCACTTAGAAAATATCTGGCTACGTCTGCAAGAAGAAAATCAAATTACTTAAATCAAGAACTATTAGATTTCCTTCTCCAGGTGATTTCATTGATCAATCCACTAGTGTGCGCTGTGGTATAAGAAATGTTGGCCACTCACATACATCCCAAACTGAATTTATCAAGGGAAAAATAGAATCAAAACCTTAAGTATGATTAAAAGCAGTATCAGCTTATTTTAATTAGTTTTGCTAGTATTGTCATTGTCTAATTTTAGTAATAACTGCTGAGTCTAAACTACATTTAAAATCATAGCGTCAATATTTACATCCACCAAAATGCATACTGAAATTCCTGCCTTGAAATGTAACACCCATCATCTGAAGTAAAACCTATTTATGATACGGTAACTCTCCTTCTGGAAATGTTTTAAGAACAGGCATTAGAGCACAGCGTCTTAAGCCATAAACAACAAGATTCCATTTGCCTAACATGACTAATACCGTGTTTCTAAAAAGACTGGTTACTTATTTATGTGATTAAGGTGTCAGTATTGTACTGCAACACTGGAAGGAAAGTCATTTCACTTCAATGACTGTTTGTCCTGATAAACAAAATAAACTTCTATAGCTGTATTCTTTGTCATACTTTCAATTTTCCCTGGGACTTGCAAACATTCTGCAGTTACATCAGTTTAAATTGTTTATTGATTCCAATAGATTGTATAAACACTTTGGAAATATAGCTCAGTGACCTAGAAAAAGCCAGATCAATCAGAGAACTTCTCAAGATTAATTTCAAAGATGTTGTGTTGAGTACAATCAAGGAAACAGAACCATTTTCCCTCATAATGTGACTAAAGGCATTTATACTCTTTATGAGATAAGGCTTTTTTTTTTTTTTTTTTAAAGGTCATGCAGACATCTACCTTGATAGAACAAAAAAGAAGCCAAGCACAGTTTAGATCTTGTGTTAAAGATTAAAGCTGTTTTTTGTTTTGTTTTGTTTTTGCATAGAATTTTATCCATTAGGACGAAATACTCCATTAGAAATACAAACAGAATACATCCATCCACCTACTCTAGTGAAACAGCAGCTTGCAAACTTGAGAGCAGTAATAAATAGGAATTTTCAAATGTCAGACAATCCAATCGTTCATTGGCACAAAGCAAAAATGTTAATATCGCATTTCAGCAGGAGATACTAATACATTTCAGATCGGTAGAATTAATGCAAAAAGCCTGCTGCAGAATATTTGCAATGCCTATCGTGACCCCTTCCCTCACCATCACACCTCCCAGCCTTGTGAACAACTCTGTGCATCTGGCCTCCATGAAGAATTCATCAGCTTCAAAGACACAGACTTCATGCTGAGCAAAACCATATACAAGGACAAACTATCAGAGGATAGAAATCAATGAAGTACTGTGGTACCAGATTCACAATTGGAGAGGATGTTACTGTAATTGGGGGGGAAGGGAGAAAAGAAATAACTCTTAAGCTAAATATAACCTTGAAAATAACAATCTTACAAGAATTTGTGCGTGGAGCAAAAGAGATTCTCAGAAAACCCAAATATATTTAACTCTGAAATGGATAAAAAGAGTCACAGACTTTACAATCAGGATATTTATGAGCGTGCATAGAAAGTGGAGAAGTTACTTTATACTTGCTCAAAAGGATGTGAAGTAGTAATCTAGCAAGATGAACTTGGTTCTCAATATATACTGGTCTCAGTAGAGGCACAACAGAGTAGCTGAGCTGCACTTAATTGTTCTACCGGTCTACTTCATAAAGGATACAATTTTGTTTTGCCTTCTCTTAAAATACCTGATGGCTATAAACCTTAGTACAAGATGTACAATTGCAAAAGTGTTTCAGAGGCTATATTGGTACACACATTTTCATTACAATTCATAAAAGAATAACAATATGAAAATCCTTACATTCTCACAATATTTGAAGTGAAGGAAGTATGCTGCTTTCACAATGCCAATATACCTACTACGAAGCAGAAACCACTACACACAGCCAATGCCTTAAATCAAAGAACAGTTTTAGCGTTTGGAAGCAGAAGCTGACAGTTGCTCTTCTGCTACAGTAAGAAATAAAAGGAAAAGAAAAACAAACAAAAACCACTAATAAAAAAAAAAAAAAAGCAACTCCTTCTAAAGAGTTTCTCTCATTTCCAAAAGCACCATTTACTGTTACAACTTCAGTGCAGAGATGTAAAATTCACAGATGCTTTCTTTTCCCCTCCTAAGCTTCAGCTCTGGCCTTTAAAACTGGGGCAAGAGAAATCATCCTCATGTATTACATGAGTTCCAAAAGGCAGACAATTTCCAAGCTCAATACTGCAGCTCAAGATCTCAACCACAGGCTCAATATTACCATCAAAAGTTCTAGGCATTCTTGTTCTAGATGTTTAAGATGTCACTAATGGGCTGAACTTTCTTGTACTCTTTGGCAGCTTTCCCACTTCTTTGTATATGTTTATTCCTAGGCAAAAGTTTTGACATCAGTCACTTTCAAATTTACCTACTGAGCAATGAAGTTGATAAATAGTATAGAAGTTGGTTAAAAACATGAAACAAGGCTTCTGTACTACACAGTCTTTGCAACATATGGTATAGAATAACTGATCCATGAGTGCTGCTCCCAGAATTCAACTCAGAGAAAGCAAAATAATGAAAGGGTCCCCAAAAAGTGAGAATGATAAATCCCAAAGCTTTGAGAACTACTTCACTGTGAAACTGAATTCCAAAACTTCCAAAATATTTGGCTAAAATCAAGCTGGAGACTGAGTCGCAGTCTCTTCCCAGAGCAAGCCACCTTCTGAGAAGTCTGCTAAATTATTTAGAGTTCCAATTAGTAGCAGAAAGCTCTCAGAACTTAAACATTCATTCTCACAGAAGTAAACCTTGGGTTAGGATGCATTCTGCTTTCTAAAATACAAGGTAAACTACCTGCTGTCGGGATGTAGTAGGATCCAGTATGGTGGCATTTCATGCTGATATTTCCCTACTACTAGGAAAAAGGCAATAGAAGAAGATGGTAGAAAACCAGTATAGGAATATTATAGAAGCTATCTGATCCAAGCAGTTAACCTCTGTCTTGCTTCAAACAGAACTTAGATTTCTGTTAGATTTTACAGTAGGTAAGATCACATTTCAGCAGAGCAACCAGAATCTCAAAAAGACATTGGAATGGCCTTTGCTCTGGAAGTGATTACTTTTCAGATCAATAAAAAAATCCCTTGATCTCAAATGCATGAGAAATAACTTTGTTTCTCAACATAGGAGAAATGATCAAATACTGCTATGACTGTTGTAGTCTCTAGAGAAAAGAATTTCTTTTGTGCCATCATATAGCTCCATTCAGAGGACTTCTATCACTAGCCTACTTTTCTTTACAGAAGGATGACTTTAGCTTTGTATTTTGCTGCAGATTTCAATGCTGCAAGGAAGGCTAAGCTTGCAAGTCCCCAAGAAAACCACCACCCTCTAGGCATGTATGACGATATACAGGCACTATAAAAGCAAGCACTGAAGTCAAATTTTCCTCTTCTACAGCAGTTCTAATGCTTTCACAAAGCATCTATGCACAAACAACCAGCCTGTGGGGGCAAATAACATTTTAACCACATTGATTGAAGCTGGTCAGACATCATAAGCAGGGAAGAACATGCATGCATCATTGCTCTGCATAGGAAATAAAAATCAAAATAGGGCATGAAGATGCACAGCCTCATCACTCTATTTTGATTCAGTTTGCAACACAACAAATGCTTTCCTGCAGTGACCTAAATAACGAAAAGTGTAAAAATAAAATATGAAAAATTAATATTCAAAACTTTGGAGCCTTATCCAACAGTAAAACTGTTTACAGTTCTGTTATTGGCTCAACTTCAGTGGAAAAGGGGAGAGCATTGATTTGAGATATCTCAAAAAGGCTCACATGAAAGAAATGGAAACTGCTACAAAGGATGCAAGATTCCCGAGGGGGCATTATGCAAGACCCCAAACTTCTGTATCACCAAAAGGTATTGCAGTGGCTTAACAACTATTCAGCAGGTTTATGAGGAAGTACTCTCAGAATGACAGACATTCACTTCATGCTCACTTCAAAACAAAAACAAGGAAGTAAAGAAAGGCTGAGGTAAGTTGTCAAGTTTTGTATTGACCATGGATTGATCAGATGAATAAACAGTATGTATATGTGAAGCTGTTTGTCTCTGTAATTCAAAATAAGATTGAGGAAATAACAATCAAATCACTGTCAGATAAGATATCATCTTGCAAATACTCTAAAACTGCCACACATCCAATAGTTCTGATTTCCTCTGTATTTCTATAATCTATAGAACAGCATTTGCATGCATTTCCAAACATTGACCTCTGATCCATGCTTGTCATTCCAGCTACACGTCTCTGCATACAGTCAGCTAAATCCATTGTTATCTCAGCAGCACGAACACAAAGATCAAACTTTCCAAAATATACCTTTTACTTCCCTTTTTTTTTTTTTTTTTTTTTTTAAATGTCAGAAGTAAATACCCAGGTCTTTAACATAAAAAGATGCTACATCTCAGAAGAGCTAAGAATATTAGTTCTAAAGAGAAAAGAAACTTCAAAAGGCACTTATCTCTTCTGGAGAGAGGGGCTGGTAATGAGAAAAGGCAAGAACATTCAGATGGTTTTACGATGACTTGGAGAATGACTAACTTGCTGACTAACAGTGGCTCACAACACACAAGATTTCCTTGCTATCAATAGAAAAGACTTTGTCATCTTTAAATACAGTCATTAAATAAGCAAATAAACAATCACCATTACAATCTCTTACCCAGACATAGTTAACCAGTGCACAATGTAAGAAGAGGGGATTGACCACATGAGAGAATGTGGGGACTAGACAAGATGATAAAAAGAAAAAACAACCAAACAACACATTTTTTCCAAACCCAAACACATCCTGATTTTCACATAACAGCTCCCAGAAATACTACTACACAGAAGAACAACCAAGCAAGTTTTCAAGCAGAGAAAGATGTTAAACCACCAACTTGATCTGAGTTCTAAAAAAATTCAATCTCCACCTGCCATCTGTCATTTTTATTTTAAAAGGAGAAAACTGAGATAGTTCTCCTTTTTTGGAGGAAAAATAAAAGTATTAGAGTGTGTGTAGGCTACAAAACACACCCTTTGAGCACTCACTAAACGAGGTACCAATGGTAATAAGGAGAAAAGAATCAGAAATGAGTGTGAAAAGGCTGTCGGAACACATACACAAGTATGGCTTTAGATAAATACTTCAGAATCAAGGGACAGGACATCAGTTTGATCCCAAGCACCTTCAAATTGTTTTAGGTACTTGGTTATTTAGGCCCAGATTTACATACAACTTTTCTACCCCTAGAAAGTCATCTAGTAACCTATTAAGCCAAACGTATAGCAGGAACATTGTGTACCCAGGACACGTTCTACTTAGCAGCAAGTAGGGAATACTCTCCTTGCAGGATTGGAGTGCGTAAATATGAAAAAACTGCTTGTTGAAATTTCTTCTGTTTCACCCTCTCAAGACACTGGAACTTCTATGCTTGCTCTACATACTCACCTAAGGATTGAAATCCACCAAATTAGGGGATATTAATATTAGAAGACTAAAAATATATATATATATATACAGAAATGGGTATACACAGAATTGCTACAGAGGCCAATACTTCAGTTTAAAATAAAGCAGAAGGATCACCTCAGTCTGCAAATATACTAATTATATGAAAGTTGGCCCATGGACATTACTCAAACTAGTCACATATTTGACTACAGCACAACCAGAAGTACATACTTACAAATGCTATGGTGAAAAGGACAGAAGAAAAAACAAAGAAAAAAAAAGGTTTCCAAACAGCTCTAAAATATCCTGCTTAACATATATCTATATTTGTATTCCTGATAGCCTAATGCCCTTTGAAACATTAATTATTTACCCATTTAAGTTTTCCCTATTTAAGATTTGTTGGACACTGGGGACATGTAATCAGAAACGTTATTGTTTCAGGGGAGGTCAGCAAGAAAGAGGTCAAGGATCCTTTTCATTGCCATATTATTTGTATTGTATTCATTAAGCAGAGAGGTGATGGCAAACACAGCTCCTGATAAAAATACAAAGTACAAGATAAAAAAAAATAGAAAATACAAGATAGTTGACAGGGAAAGATCTGTCTTTTCATCCAGTGTAAACTCCAAACATGAAACCTATTGTCATGCAAGTACTTTAATGATTCCAGAATTTCACAAACAAGAACAAGTTATTACCTTTCCCTTAGAGAAGATCGATTTAGTACAGAACTTAGAGAATGCTTCTGAAATGCTGAAGGTGCTGAATGCACTAATGAACCGCCGGAATGGGCCAGCCTGTTGGGTGAACCAGAGATCACATCCTCACTACAAACATCAGAAGAATTGTCATGGTCTTTCCCATGAGTAGATCTTGCCTGTTAAAAACAACAAGAAAAAACACCAAACCTTGCTAAAATGTAATATGAATATCAAGAGGTAAGAGGTACAGTTTTCTTTTTTAAACTGAAGGGTTACAGGCTTTCCATACATGCAGGAATATCCACCTGCTGGGGAAGAACAAAGATCCCCATTTTACAAAAGGAGCCCTAGTTTGAACTAGGAAGTGCTCCCTGCTGGTATCTAACACTCTGTATTACAGCAAAGCCTGGTTTTCAGGCTATCATCTTATTCTGACTGCATAGTGTAAAGTCTCCCATGTCACAGGATCCTCAGAGATTCAGGGTGACACCCAAGAGTCTACACCAATAAACCTCAGACCTCTCCTCAGTCCGGGACCCCTGCTCAGACTTATTTTTTTCATGACTTTTTCTTCCTCCAGGAAAAATTCTAGTCTATCTCCTAGTCAATCTTAACTCTTTCATTTACTCCTTTCATAGCTCCTCTTAATCTGAAATACAGCATGCAGATGTCTCCATGGGTTACCCTGGTTTACAACAGAACAAGATAGAACCCTGACATTATCTTCAGATCCACTTTTTACAAAGCAGCTAAAATATTAATAATTAAATGTGAAATGACAAAATAGTGGCTTGCCATTTGTACTTGAGCTACCTTTGCATAATATTCTGGAAAAAAGTTTGATCTCAGAATGACCAGGCAGATTTCTATAAATTACTTCTAAAGGCTCTTCTACAGTCTTACCACAAGCCTTAATGCCAAAGAGAAGTCCTTTACCTACAGGCATGGACACATCACAGAATATTGTTTCACATTTGTATTTCAAAATAACCCAACAGAGATAAAAAGAGCTATATCAGATTTTAAACATCCTTTGTCTTGTTTTTGGTAGTGCAGTAGACAATTACAAACGTACCTACACAGAACAAACCTCCTCTCTCAGAGCTTTCCCCCAAAACTAGTTTCTAAACAGCACTACAGAGTACTCACTTTGGCTTTCTTGGGTCTGTAGCTGCCAAGAAGAGAAAGATCTGGAGAAAGAAAAAAAATTGTATACTTCAAGAAATTCAAAAGAAAATCTGAACGCCCTGTTTTATAAAATCTTTTACAAAATAGCTTACCTCTTCTCCCAAACACTAATAAACCAAGTTATTATTACAGACTGTGAAATTCTAAACAGTCTTCCCAGTAATATTTTACTACCTTCAGATGAAAACAATGACCTTACGTTTTACTCAGTACAGTGTTAATAACATTAAATCAGGACAAGCACAATCTTCTACATAGACAGAAGTAGTACATTTTGATAAGCTATTACTTGTATAAATCAATAAAAAGTAAAACTCTATCATTCTCAAAAAAATCTCATTTACATTACTCTACCTTCCCACACTTTCTGGAACAAGCTTCCCTACCACCATCACTTTCTCCTCTAATCACCTCCTTGTTCTTTCCCTCATCACTGGCTCATAAACACAAGTTATGAAGACCACAGAAGCAACAGTGGAGGAACTATTAAATCCACACCAGCTCAGGGTGTCCAACCACTGTCAATATGCACCTCACCCCAAAGGGAATGACAACTAATTATGTCTGCTTTCTTCATCAGTTGTATCAGTCTGCACTGAGCAGCCCTAAAGACAACCCATTATCATCTATCTGCACAAAAGCAAAACCAGACTAAATTGTACTGCAATCACAGGAACTTGTGCTTTATAAAAATTAGAATTGAGCTTCAATACATAGAAACATGACTAGTAAACCATTTGGATGTTAGCTGTGAGGCAGGTTTCTCTCTCCTAGCCACTGGCTAGATACCATCAACTCATTTGTAAGTACATAACGATACTAGATGATTATAGGTCTATTATATTACCTTGCTACAACAGATTGATATGCACAATCCCAACAAGAATGAGTAACCCTTTAATATCCTGCACTCAGTACTATTACAAAAAAAAAAAAAAAAAAAAAATTAAATTTCTTGTCCCACACTCTTTATAAAACACTCAGTTACTATTGCCAGTGAAAGTGGAAGGAGACACACGCAAGCATCCTGGATGCTCATTAACAATTGTAAGCCACAGATCCACTTAAAAAAAAAAAAAAAAAAAAGCTGATATACACATTATTCATTTTTGAAGCAACAGAGCTCTTGAATTTCAAAATGATCAACATTCCAGGCATGACTAACACACCCACAGCGACTGATGTGCAGATTTGTTCCTCTATGCAACTAATCGAAACAGGTGGACTGGAACAGAGTGCCTGGACTCTGGTATTTTCTGCTCCTACTTTCCTATCATGTAGAACTACGTTCCAAGTTTCCCCGAGGTAAAGAAATACGCAAACCCACCTTTTGCAACAATAGGTTTATTCAGTGCTCTTATTCTTCCTACCAAAGAGGAGCAGGTTTTTCTCCAATAGAGATTGTTTCAAACCAAAAAAAAAAAAAAAACCAAAAAAAAAAAAAACACCTGACTAAACTACTGGAGGAAAAAAAAAAAAAAAAGCATTAAATGAGATAACAGTATTAAATACTGACCACGGGTTACCTTGGACCAAGTTTCCATTGTGCCTTCTTGCAGGGTAGAGCGGGCATAAAGCTCAGTTCCAGGACTTGGTTGTTCTACCTGAAGCAAAACTACTGTTAAGAGGTGCAGTATCAGATGTTTTAATCTCTATACATATTTTTAATTCCCTTCCCCTCCCCCCCCCCCCCCCCATAAGACCACATCCAGTCCTTTCTAAAATCATTTATTCTTTTTCAGATACTATTTAAAAATGTGTTCTTAATGTTTATATTATCAGCATTATCACATATAAACAAAAAGAGTTCTAGAAAGGTCTAGAAAGGCCTGAATGTCACGCTGTTCAAAGGAATAAAAAAAGCAGACAGTTTCTCCTTCATCTATAACATCTTTTTGAAGATATCTTTTTAAAGACCATGTGATACCACATATTTATTCCAAACTGTTCAGACCTTACAAAGTGCTACTGTTGCTAGGTTTAAAAGTTACATTTTAACATAATTTAACTTTAATTGTCAATGTAGTACTGCCAAACCAAGGCACCTCAGCAGTAAAGATGCTCTGAAAAGAGCATTCTCACTCTAGAAAGGCCATGATGCCAGGAAGGGATGCATTAAGAGACAAGAATTTTCCTTCCTGTACAAATATAACAGTGCAACTGAAATCAATAATCAGTATTTACAGATGTTGTAATTAAACTGTGAACTTCACCTATAGATCAAAAACCAGAAAAAATTGATTAGCAGGAGATAAAAGAAAAATAACAGAGAAAGACAAATTGAAGGCTGATGAATAATTAATGGATTAATAAGACTAATTTGAATTTCTAGAAAAACATACCTACAAGAAGAAGAAAACTTTTGAAAGAATTTTAGAATTTGATAAGCTATTACTACTCCTACATAAACAAAAATGAAATAGTGTGACAGGCAAACTAATTAAATGCTAAGTTATCTCAGTAGCTGTGACAAATGTTCGAAATTGTTGAGAAATCGTGTCACAGCACAGAGTCAGAACAATCCTATCTTGGGCCCTACACGTTCTCAGCAATATCCTTAGAAAGGAGGGTGACCAAATTGTAACAAAGCAATTTGCAGGAGAACACATTCATCCAAGAGGCTGGGCAACCTGGACCTGCAAAAAAGCACTTACATGAAGTTTCTTCAAGTAACTACTTAATTTCAGAACAGTTTTTCCACATGCAGATTTTGTTTAAGTGCTAAATGCAGGCTGGTTATCAGTTGTAAGTCAAAGTATCAGAGACATAGCTTTGAGTAAAGCATGTGTTTCAAAGATCTGAGAATGCTAACAAAGTTGAAAGAGGCAGTGTGCGTGTTCTTAATGTGACTAGACACCTCTTCTTTAAAGTCTTATTCAGGATTTTTTAATACTAATATCAATTACTTCCAAGTTGAATTTAAACAGCTATTATACTATCTACCGTGCTGGAAAAAAAGAAATGGGGCCTCAGAGAATTTAACCAAGATATTCATGAAAGAATTTGATCTTTGTCTAATACTAACAGATAACATTAACTAAAATAAAATTCTTTTATATTTAAATAACTATGTGACAGACTGGAGAGAAATTATTCATCTAAACTAACAGATGAATGAATTTTTGGAACAGTATTCAGTGGAAGAACAATGTTTGATCTCAGACTAAACTAGAAGCACTTCGTGGAGAATACAAACCCGTCTAACTACAAATGGAGGTTTATCAGTTTCTCTTCTGAATTCGTAAGGACCAAGGTTTAAGTGGGCAAGTCGTTGCCTGGCTTCTTCTGACAGCTCACACATTCGTCTTTTTGTGTATGGAGATGGAGAACGTGACTTGGAAGCTATGGTTGGCTGCTCATAATTCTTTCTTGCTACACTGTGCCTGCTTTTCTCAGGTGAAAGCATGTTTTTCTTTGGTAACTTTGTTTGCAGTTTTCCATTTGGAGTTGAGTGATGTACCCAATTCAAATCATCCTAAAGTGAAAAAGAGAAATTATCTGCTTTGACAGCATGCAGAACAAAGACCACTGACAGTAACAGAAACAGGGAACTAATAATTTTAACAGAAATTGATGCTATATGTCAGCTGAAATTCCTCTCAGAAGACTATAATCAGACAGCAATTTAAAAAGCAACAATGTATTTACCATTTTGTCAGAATCCAAAAGGAGGTTAAAACACACATTACCACCTGTTAGAAGTTAAGTGTCTAATACTTCACTCAATTAGTTTGCTCATTCTTTTAGCATACAGAGACTGCAAAATAAAAAAAAAACAAATTGGGGTTTCTATCAAGTTCATTTAACATAAGCTTTATCAGCATTGGACGTACAAAATTGTGCAGATTTTTCATCTGTTTAAAACTTCTAAAATACGTATCTTAAAATTCTTCTCCATTCAGATCATTTAAAGTTGCCTAAAAGTCACAAGAAGTGTAATTGTACTCTGAAATCCATATTTTCTTGGAACACAGTCAATTTACTACTTGAATAGTGTGTCTTAATCAAGAATGTTTTGTATAATAACAAACAACCAGACCATCTTCCCAAGATTATCCTGAATCAGGTGAATACTTTTGCAAAAGAAGAGAAATAGCTGTTTATTCGTATTGCTGCCAGTTTACATCCAAAGCATTTATTTTTTCAGTCAAAATTTACAAAAATCACACAATTTTCTCATACTGCTTTAGAAGTTTATCTCCGAGTCGATGCTGCTTTTAAAATACTCACATTTAACAGAATGGAAGAAAGTTGGGAAACAATCACCCTCACCAGCTCCCTGTGCACAGTACAATACATGAGTATTTTGTTTGCATGTTTTTTCACTGGAAAACCTACTTAACAATTCAGATTAGCTCCTATTCCAAATAATTATCAAATTTGCAGTGACCTCTTCAAAAGACTGCAAAACTCACTCCAACACTGAAGTTTTATTTGAAATACCTTATCATTCCTTTGCAATTCTTGGCATTAAATGTACATTTAATTACTCTGGAAGCATTATAGGTCAAGGAATTCTAGATTATACAATTCTTATCAGACTACTAAAGTCAGTGGCATATGGATAATTAGGCTTTTAAGCCAAATTTTGCCTAAATTCCCATGTTACAGAAGCTCAAAAATAGAAGTATGGCAAGATTTTTGTTTTCCAATTAGAAATTACTTTTCAAGCTTAAGGAAGTTGACATTATTCTTAAATATGAATGTTGCATGCATTATTTTACTTCAGAAGAACCTAGGAAAAAAATGCCCAGCTTACCTTTGTGTCTTCCCTTCCATATATAACAATGAAAACAAGATGAGGTTGAGTGTTTAGTACTAGCATAGCGTGAATCTGGCATCGCAAACACAGTTCACATTGCTTTCTTTTGCCTGTACTTGCACTTATGCAGCTGGTAGTGAGCCACAATGTGAAACTGTCCCAGACAAAAAAGAATCTAACACTCTAAGAATAATTTCAACTTTAACAGAAGAAGACTACATGTTCTCCTGGCTTAAACTAGTTGTAAAATTAAATCCTCACTGTAGTCCATGAAAATCTAATGGAAATTTTGTAACATATTAAATACTTTTAAGGTCATTCTTTAGTTTCAAATCAAGTTCCTTTTTCTGAAGTCCCCTTCAACGAGTTTAGTTTTCTATCAACACTAATTTTCTTTTTTTTTTTTTTTTTTTTTTTAAAAAGAAATTCTTCGAGTGTCTCAGTAATATATTTTGCTAAAATTGAATTTTCTCAGTGAATTAATGAACAATATCATGAATGGATCAAAGTCACCTCGTCCTTTTTGCACACATACCTTCTTAACAATTCTATTTGAGTGATGCTGCACCATTTGCAATAAACCAGAGAAGGAGGAGCATGTAAGAGTAACTTTGTGTGACAGTCTGTCCCAGGAAGCTATGACACAAACCAGTGAGATCAGAGAAAAGTGATACAAACTAAACTAATGCATCAGAAAGGGTATTTCTCCCCACTCTTTTCAGCTACTACTTCTTTAACTTTACTCACCGAAGAAGCAGCGTTTCCAGATTAACATTAGTGATAGGTTTTGCAACAGAAATCTTCGTTTTGATTGCTACTGACATCGCTATGGAAAACAATTAATTGGTTTGTTTTTGACTTTCTCTGACTTCACTAAGCTTCATTGTCCCGCCTTAATTCTGAGTGCCAGTACCAAACAGTGAACCTTCCCACTGCGATACACCAGGGATTAACACTTCAGCTGATCACAGAAAATAGCAGGTGATAATTGTTTCAGATTCAAGGAACTCTCAGCATTTACTGTCATGCACCAGACCCACTCTTTACTCATACTCGATTGAAAACTTAATCGAGTTGTCAAGCACCCGTGACAACTGCTTTAACCACAACAAAAGAATGAGGAAAGTTTGAAGTGAGCAGCATATGCAAAAAATTGAAACAAAGCGTATCAATATTAAATCTAGAAATTAAATTGCAAACAATTAAATTATGCTAACCTGTACGTGACTCCTTCCTGAGCTTAACAGACTTTCAGTAATAAGGGAGGTCGTAGAAAATCTCAATTTTGGTGCAATTCCCTAGAAGAGAGACAATAATTGAACATCAAGCCCCAACTCAAGATAAAGGGTATCAAAGAAGTAAATGTCACCTAATGTAACAAACCATCCCTAATTTCCAGCCATTTCCTTTGTTAATTTCAGCCTTTAATAAAGATAATTAGAAAAGACAGAACAGCAATGGTAAATGTCAAGATGCTAACATTTGCATTTCTGACAATTCAATTACAGATGATTATATTGCTTTCGTACAACAATTAAGGTCTGACTTTCATTTCAATACATTTCTTAGTCAAAAGCAATTTTGAAGATTTTTCATGCCATGCTGTATAGCATCAATAAAAATTCCAGTCATGATATGGAAGTTCCAATAATGCTAACTTCAGAAATTTATTTACAGTCTCAATTGTGTCACCTTTTTGTAAGAATATTTTGAAAATCCATCAATTACACTGCAAATAACTATTCACTTGTAACAGTGTCATCAGGAGTCCCCTTTGTTCTGTAACTCCCAGAGCAACATCTGATTCCTGTGGATTGTCTCCTATAACCTGCTTCTTTTCAATGACCTCTTAAGCACATGGCTGGCAAGAGCCAGGCCTAGTTTGACTGATCTGGAGGCAGTGGAATTCAGCTGGTCCATGTTTAATAACAAAGTGGCAGGCCCCTGCATCTCTGAGACAAACCACAGACAAGTGAGAATAATCTAAGAGCATCTACCACAACTCCACAGAAGCAAATAGGGATTCAAGTGTTCCTAGAACTTCCTACTCTCCTTTCAACACAGAGAGCTTGCTGTACAGCCCCTGGCATCTGTATGCAAAGGCGTTTGTACAACTGAACACAAAATTACTGTGAACCAAAAAGGAGCTCATCATTTTGTGATCCTGCCCCACAGCTGAGAATTAGCAGGAACTTCATGAGTGAAGGTTACTGCTGAACCAAAGGATTTCCCTACCACCTGCCTAAACACACACTCATTTCCCACAAGGGCATACGATCCAGCCCCAGGTTAGATTATGAAAATGAAATGACAAAAATGCCAAGAAAGCTCAGTTAAGCAATTAGTAAGAGTCTGGCATTCAATCAAGTCAAGTTACGGCATATAAAAAGATTTTCAAGCTGACCATCTTTAATCAACTCGGTTTTATTACTAATGAATTGTCAAGTGCTATCAACAATTTAAAAAAGGACGCACCAGAATTAGCAAGTCTATAAAAAGCAGAGCTCTTACAGAGAACGAAAACAGAGTTGTTACATGCCTACAGATAAAAATCACGTAAGACCACAGTTCTTCAGATAAACGGTTCATGGAGAGCACATACAGGACAGCCCTTGCATACACAGGAGTGGGTATAGCATGAGTAACTTATTGATCAACAGAAAAAAGGAGTTTTCCCTTTTATATTCGTATATAATGCTATATATTCTATATAGCATGATGTAAAGACCATTCTATAGCTCTAAACACTTTCTATAAATGAAAATCCAGTCAGAAAGTTTTGTGGGTCTATTTTCCTGCCACTGTGTTAGCGGTGTCAGTGGAAGACTTGTTAGTACTCTTGTAGCAGTCATTGACCAGATACAACACAGATATACTATCACCTTCTTCATAGGAAAACTGTTAAGGTAGTTCATATTCACTGGAAACCAAGTTAAAAAAACCAAATCTAATATGTGCTTTTAAGAAGCATGAGAATATATCAAAGCTTAAAAAGCGTATGTACATAACAGAACATCTTCTGTTGGTATGTAATGAAAGACAACAAAACTGAAAAGAATATGTTTTAAGTAAAGTAGCAAATAGTGCATAAAGGTGGGGAGTGGAGATAAGAATGTCTGTCAGAAGTCACCACCAGTTGAGGTTTAAACATATTCTGAAGGACAAGGGCTGCAGAGAAACACAGAAGAGCCAGCAAAAGCCTCAGCTGGGCAGCACTGGACCAAGAGAGATAACTTGAGGCATATCTGGTACACATATTGTGTTTGTAAGCTTCAGAAGACATTTAGCCAGAGACATTATCAGCCAAGTGCCAGATTTCTGGAGGAGTCCTGATCCTCTCAACTTGGGATTCCTTCCAACTGGCAGATTAGCAGCATTCATCAGACACTGCTTGTCACTGCCTATCTGAACTCCACAACTGTAACCTCGCTGTTGCTACTTTTACTTTTTTATTAAAAGACAGTTATTAGGAATCGAAGTGCCAGAGAAGCACATCTGTCAGTCTAAAATACTCAACATTTCAGCTAACCATAAATAACTTTCTGTATAGGAATAACTCAGCTTGAATAGAACACAAATAATGTGAGTGATTTTTGTCCGCAGGACCTTGTTTAACACTTGGCCTTTTGTTTAGTGTTTACACTCAGTGCTTGGTGCTGACAGGAGACACTTGCCAGTAGAGCTTAGGGAACACCAGAAGATGGAGGCATTGGAGACTTCACAACTTCTGGAGATACAAATCCTCTCATTGCAATCCCATTTTGCAACCAAAGAGAGGAGCCACAAGTAGCTATTTGAGAGACTTCCTCCAATTGCTTCAAACACAGCTTCGTTAGTACTCCTGAAAATGGGGTCAGTATGCCAAAATCCTTTCTTGGAGCTGTTCTGATTTTCTGTGATGGAGATGCAATAGAGTATAACTGATGCTTCTGCAGCCCTCATTTCAGGGCAGAGATGTATTTCATTTACACTGCTCCTGAGGACAAGGAAGGACATTTCTGTCTATCATCAGTCAACATTTAAAAGCTACCACAATGTCATCATTCAGTTACACATTCAAATGACTCTGAGCCCATCTGCTCACAGCTCACAACCTATGACACCTTATTTTGCTAGAGAATAATTTTTTTTCTATTAAATAACTTAATCCAGCAAACAAAAACAATGCACAAACTTCTCTACGTATTTCCCTCAGTGATTCACAACACCAGAACAACTGTATTTGTGGCTGTATTGAGAACTCTGTATTTAAGGTTGTTTTTGTAGCATGGTTTTGCTGATGAACGTATTTTTAAATACTTAGTTCCCTGATCTAGTGCATAGTGTGTTTGCACTCAGAGAAAATGATGAAGTGATGGGAAAGGAACGAACAGCAGAATGCAGTACTGTAGCTGAAAGCTGGATACAAAACTACAGCAACTTAAAAGCCTTATAAATGGAGGCTGTTGTGGCTCCCTCCCTCCCTTTAGCCACTGAAAATATTCATAGGACAAGTTTGATATATCAAAGAGATGCCATGACAAAAAAATGTCTTTTTCTTTACAATTTAGGGACTGTTTAAGCTGCTGCAGAACAGTACACTTTGTATCACAAAAATCACAGCTTTAATTCACTGAAATGTAGCACAGCATTAGACACCAAATTAGCACTTCTAATTGCAAGTGACAGGGCAATTTCCAGGTTGCCCTTGCAGGGGAAAGATTATACCAGCTAAATGATACCAGTGACCTTTAATCAGCCTTCCACCCACCCCAACAAAGTGTTTTTTAATCCAATCACAACAGATAGGGCAACTGAGTCCTAATTCAAACGTTCTGTCACTCCACTAGTACAACTTAAATTCCAAAACACATTCCCTATGCCAATAGCAACATCCTCAAAGTGCCTTTCTGAGGTATTCCACTGACATCGAAGATCCAACAGTCTTAAAACTCTCTGATAGGGTAGTGAGATGAATTCATTTCTACTCAATGTGTACTTGAGCCCATATCTCCAAAAAATTAACATTAATCCATTGCACTTATTCTGCCAATTAGTTGTCATTTATCACAGTTTTCAGAAAAATTGTAGAAAAGGCAGTTATTACGAGAGCATGATAGGCTGAACAGATCTTTAAGAACAGGTTTTGTAACTGAAAAGCAATCACATAGCACTAAGCTGAATTTCAGTCACTGTTTTTGGTGATGACTTTGGACCTCAGAGAGGCCCACAGAACAGATGCCATAGAATTGTATACATCTGTAGTGACTGTCAGTCTTGAGCACTACAATAAAAGAAAACAAAATGCTAAAAAGGTAACCCACCTCTCTAGTTTCCACGGTTTTTTTTTTTGTTGAGAATCGTGAATTTGACACAAAATCTCCCTCTTGAACTACCATCTGCATCATGGATTAAATTGAAATAGAGACGTCATAGAATCACATGCAAACCACATGGCATGGAAATTAACTTCTTCACATTAAACACTTTAATGAAGAATTTTCAAAAAAAAAAAAAAACCAAACACACAAATACCTTCACTGAAGGTGCAACTGAGAATTTGTGCATTCAACACCTGAACTGGCAAAATCTGTCAGAAGAAATCACTTTTCCTTTTGAAGTAGTTCAAAATGAACTACTTCATTGATGTGTTCATTGAAACACATTGCACCATAAACACAACCCAAAGGCATTTACTCACAGTAAAATAAGAAGATCTCTTCATTAAAATCTCACGATCTGCACCGTGCTGCCGACAGGTAAGCTTAGGGTCAGGGAACAGGAAATCTCTTGTATTTTCTTCATAAGTAGCAAGAATTTCTCCAACTAAAAAGAAAACACACACTGTAATTAGGAATTTGAATTAGCAGCAAGGCTCTATAACTCGTATCACAGTAGGGAATAACATCATCAAGCAGCAGAAATATTCAGACACTGGCCTAAAAGCACGGTTTGCTTATTTAAGAAGTATGCAGAGAATAGCTAAGGCAATCTTCATTAGGAGCCACAGGAACTTCCTCAAGGTAATCCCTTCCGTAGCTTCCTCCTTCTTTACTTCCCATGACACAGAAGAAACCAGCAGGTTTTAGCCAATACATCATGAAAAACTGTCTTATAACACAAAACATAGATGCTTCTTAAATAGCAAGTTGTTATCAGAAAGAAATGCAAGCAACATCGAAATTAGTACGATTCTTCAAGTATTGTGATCTGCTACTTTCTTTTAAAATATTTTCTTTAGGGGTAACCCATGAAAGCATATTTCTATTAAAAATAAAGTTTAAGTTGTGCTATCACAGTTATTTTGTCAGCTTCCACTGGGATGTACCACAGGTACCTCTGAGTCCCGATGAAATTACTGAAGTCAGAATCTTCCCCCTCCTCCTTCCCCCTCTCCCCCCCCCAAAAAAAAAAAAGTCCACACTCAGTATGTTTTCTTGGATAAATAAGTCCAGTGAATCACTTGAGGGAAGCAATTGTTTCTTTGAAACAACTAAAGGCGAGCAACAGAGAGTGCTTTGAATACTAGTTTCCAAGCGAGTTCTCTTTCAAACTTGACTTTATTTCCAATAAAGTACAGACTTACATTATTCATGGGAACACTTGAATTTCATTAAAATAGATTTTTATAATCACACAAACCAATAACAAAAGTATGACAAATTGCTATTTATTATTGTCACCTATCCCAAGCGATATGTAATACTTATAGTGAAGATAAGAGTTTTCCCAGTGGTCACCATTAAAACAGAAGGGAAAAAAAAAAAGAAGTGCCATTCTGAGAACAAGATGATACACTCTGAATTTCAGACAGACACTCTGCAAGTGAATTGTGATGCAGTTAATAAGTGATGTGCTGGATGATTTCAGTTTTTTTTTTTATTATTACTTTTTATTTTTTTAAATCTTATCACTTTCTGACATGGTAAGTTTTGATATTCAGTTGCTATTCTATTTCAAGAATGAGATCCTCCTGATCTATTAACATTTTATATTCAGAGAACTATTTGTTGAAATCCTTCCTATTTTGTTTTTGTGTTGGAAAAAGTGATTGTGCTGTAATGGGCAATGTCCTCATGGAAATTCACCTATTAAACTGCATAATTTATGAAGAGACTGATACAATACCTGGAGGAATGAGCTGTATTAGTTCAAGTACTGCTGTGTCAACTAGAAAGGAAGAAAAGTTTCTTTGTAAGTTAAAAAAACTAAAATGAGATGTTACTTAAAGAAATAAATGCGCGCTGATTGATAGTGCACAGTGACACCAACAATAAGGGCAAATGAAAACCTTGCCTAATCCTGGGGAAAAGAACAACTACAGATGAACACAATGGCATTAGCAGTATACAAAAAGCAACCCTTTCACTAAGAATTTGTTAAGTTCCAGCTGTTTATAAGTTTGTCTTTGGAAATATCTTGTAAAGAAGATTATGCAAGCTTAACCACTTTTTCCAGATACCTCCCTGCATTAGGGAGCATGCTCTTGCAGTTCGCATGTAGGGCTGGTGCTGTCTTACTACAAGTCATTGTGCTCCAGATGTGGTAAGACTGCTTTCTGTAGGCATATATCATTTTCTTAACCATATACATCCACACATACAGACGTTTTGTGTGAAATTAAGAAGTTTCACTTGAAATTAATCAAATAAGCAGTCAGACAGAGGAAACTATTCTCTCTCTGGATAAGCAGTTGGATGTCCTGCTGATTAGGATGTATTGCATTCTGAAGCATACAGCATACATTCTAGGGGCATTTTCTTAGTTAACAGCATTTTGGAGAAGCTGGTACTATCCCAAAGACAGCAAGAAACTTATGCCTGTACTGATAACAAACCTATGCTAAAGTCACTAGTGCTATGGTCCTAACTTATTTAGTATGTAATGCACATTTGTTATCCACTAACTTTTCAGAGGACAGGCTGCTGATAGAAAAAAAATAATTGTAACATTATTGAAATCTCCAAAACATCTTTAAAGCCTATATGCATATAACATTAATGCACACAACACAATACGCATAAAAAGCAGAACCTACCTTCTAGCAACTCCACAAGGTCTCCAGGATCAACTACATTAGCAAATGTCTGGAAAGTAAACAAATATTTTTTAAAAAATAATGGCATAGACAAAGTCATCTCATATCTCTGAGGGAAGAAGGAAAAAAACCCCAAAATCAATATTCTTCCTTGCTTCAGATGGTTGTCAAGAGTTCTATCCCTCTTGGAAAAAAAGAAAGGAAGCTGGAATTATCATTTGACACACGATCATATTCACTGAAAGCCAGCAGTTCTTGTCGGTTGCTTTCTAGCCATTTTAGGATTACCTGCCCTAATTTAAATTAGGAGCTATTGTGAAGAAAGAAAGAAGAAAGTATTGTCTGAGAAAATTTTAGGAGAGAAAGATAAATTACAGAATACATTAGATGTCTGATAGATGAAGAATGTGTTCTTTAATGTTAGTTACACTTTAAGCTTAACTTATTCATGTACAGAGTACTGTTCAATTTTTATTTTTTATTTTTATCCCATGGCAAGAGATGGCAAGGAACTGGGCAGGAATTCCTGCAAAAACATTCCAATGGATATTAAGCACATAACGGACTTTCCTGTAATTCTGCACAAAGTGGTATAAATGACTTTGCTGATTGAAAATACCAAAGCACTGTTCACCACAAGTGCTTAGATCCATTCAATAGCAATTTGTAAGAAAATAGTTCCTACTTCAGCTTTCTCTTTAAGCTTTTTTCTAAGCAAGTAAATTCCAGTGTTCTGGAATTCCCCTAAATTAGAACAAAACCAGCATTCAGTACATTTCCCTTAAATAGACAGTGGGATGTTTGCCTTTAATTAAATACTGTGTTCTTTTTTATTTTTTCCATTCTTCTGTGGTTGGTAAAATTATCACTGCTTTTACATTACCTACATAACAAGAGTATCACTGATGTTTACTCAGTCTAGATTTGAAAGTGCAGGGGGATGCTTAAAGGAAAAGAACTAGTAAAGGGCAAAGTATTATTATTCACAGGTAGTCAAGGAACCAGATCATATCTGTATGATTCTGTGTTTCATTACCCCTGTGGTACTAATAATGAAGCTAGCAGGGACTCAGAATATGTGATAAACAACTATAAATTAAAAGGCCAGAATACTAACTTGGGAATTCTGGTGACAAACCATGAATAAAGCATCTCAAAAGGAAAATTATGTCACCAAAAGGGTTTCAGCTGCTATCCCATCTTTCTACTGATTAAGCTGACTCTCCCACATCCCATAGTTTTTGTGTTACATTTTTAAAACAATAATATTTATTTTTTTTCCAAACTAAGAAAATAGATACTGAAAAAGGACAGTTCCTAAAAGAATGAATAAACACCTAAAAAAAAAAATATAATCTTCAGCATGTGTATTTCTTGAGACACTGTGTGGATAATACAGTTGCACACCTCTGCTGTGCCAAAAAAATGCAGGAGCTATATAATATTGCACTGACCTCTGTGTGATTACTTGCACATCAGGGTTCTGCAACGAGCTTTTGTGTGTATGGGATATGTTTCATTTGCCATGTATCAGCATTTGACGTTATCTTACCTTTTCAAATACTAGTTTTTCTTGAAAGAAAAGTGGAAATGCTGCAGGGACACACCGAGTCTTTTTGTATTGCCCAAGTATAGAGACACTGAGATAGAGCTCCTCTTTGTCTTTCAACAGCACTCCAGGACAAGTTATCTGTAAGAGGAACACATTCATTAAACAAACTGAACTTCAGTTAAAGTAGTAATGGCTGTTTTCAGGATAAAAATGAAATGGTCAAAGCTGAAACGGTTGATTGCTGAGAGTCAGAGTGGAAACATTTCTTTTCTAAAGGAGATCTATTTGTACAGAATGACAAGGAAAATTTGTCACCACCTTAAAATAATCAAGAGCAAGTTTACTTACAGTGGGAACATGTTCCACTGTCTTAAACCAAACCTAAAAGTGGTATCATGATCTTAGAACTGTATAATGAATGCACAGAGCATCTATAAGTTAATTAAGGGTCACATCATGTTCAGAAGGATGGACGTCTAGAACGAAGTTTAAATGATGCAAAGATACAAAAAAAAATATCCAAATGTAGCCTACACAATGAGTGAATGAAGCTGGTAGATGTATATGCTTCAATTCCCATACTCTGTTCAGTCACCAAAACAGAAAAGCTTATTTGCAAATATCACAATTGAATTAACATTACATTTTAATGTGCAAATGAGGAAAAAGTAAATGTTTTGCTCCTATGGGAGGAATATCACACAAGTTGTTATAGGAGAATTTTGGCCACTCAGGAGCATATTCAAGACAGTAAAGACCTCTCATTGGGCTCCAGATACTGCCACAAATCTCTCAACTTCCTCTGGCCAATTCTTACTCATCGAGTGAGAAGTTAGTATGCTTTTAAAGCTCTGATGAACATCAGATATTCTTAACTGTGTTTCAACTGCAACAATGTACACAAATCACTGTTAGCTACTTTCTCCAAGCCACATGGTTTTACTCTATTACCCATCCAGAGAACTGTCACCTTTCACTTCATTTCTACTGCTCACTTTTTATAGCAGTATAATAAATATGAGGTTGTCTCTTCTAACATAAGGTTGCTGCAGAAAGTGTTCAGACTTTCAATTGCAAGGTACAAAGACAAAGGAGCACAGTGACAGGAATTGAAATAAGTGCTTTGCTTACAGTCCCTTACTCCCAAATGAACATTTTACTTGAGAAATTCTTGCTGAAGCTAAAACAAAATTACATAAACAGCAGAACAACAGCCTCAAGTGAAAGAAAATAACAGAAACCAACATGTTAGAGATTAACTATAGTTACAGTCTAAGCTTAAAAAATCAAAATGTTTCTGCTCATAAGTATGCTAGAAAACAACAAAAAAAAGTTTCCTCTCCATGCAAGTTAGGGCTTCAAAACTGCAAAAGGAGTACCAGAATAATGGATATTCTGACTGAAATAGATTACCAATCATTAAACAGCTTCATGATAGTGGCTGCAAGTGCTAAGAGGAATGAGTAAAACAGAGATTTTATCCAGAAAGTAAAGATTCCCCCCAGACCACACACTAAAACTCCTATTAGCTTGGCTGGGACTTCTCCTTTTAAATTTATGATTCTTCTTAATCAGGGCTTTGCACCCTGCAGAAGGCAACTGGAAGAAAAGATAAACATTTGAACACATCAGGCATAGCAAAACTGCAAGCAACAATTAGGGGATATGTACTCTGGTCAACCTGTAGAAGTAAGATCGTACAGATCAGCATGTGTAGTGTGCTGCTTATCTACAATGTTGTAGAAGCACAATTCATTTTCTGGGCTGGAACACAAAGTCTACATGTTCATTTAACTTCAAATTAGCCCCCCCCCAAAAAACAAATGTACATGTATATCCACAGTTCATTAAGTGTGTTAAGTAATATACGCTGCACAGAGCTGCAGAACACTGAAGAGACAAACTAAAGTCCTCAACTGATCGCAAACCTTTCAGGCAGGATGAGGGACCATTTTAAAAATGGTGAAAGTACAACAATTTTCTAACAATTTACTGCTCTTACAACCAACCATGGGGGCTATTGAAGAGAAACAGCTGTTACCATGCACAGTTCCAGAAGGATGAAAACGTGCCATCCTTAGTGCTGGGACACCACAAACTGCCATAATGAAGTCACTGAATTCACTTCATGGGAAGGAACTGAATTCTACTGTTCCAACACCTGATATAGTATTTATTTTCTTTTCCCTCTTCTACACTCAATACTCAAATTATATCATGTATACACAGCCAATGAGAAAGGCTGGCCCTCAAAAAAAATTCCTTTAGTACCCCATCACTACCAAACAGAAAGTGTACTGCATGAAGGGCAATGGACAGTATTAACTCCTGTGGAGTGCAAGCTTACATAAAGAATAGCCCTTTGGACTCAGAGTTACAAAAATAATCTTCTCAATATAAAGAGATGACATTTTAGTCTTCTTACCTGACAGTAATCCACAATGCTATTAATTCATCTTGGTGCTTAAAGCTTTACATACTTCACTGCCACGTTTGTGAATTCTCCAAGTAGTGGTGACATGAAGAATAATGTGAATTTCATTCTGCTGCTACATGAGCAAACCAAATGCCAGCAGCAGAGGTAGGAACCAAAATTAGTCTCAGAAAACAAATAACAGTGAAAGCTCAGTCTGAGCAATCATGAATTATTCAATTTAAACTAATGGCAGGGTAAACCAAATATGGTCTTAAACTAAGGTTTTCAATTTTAGAAGAGCAGCCTCTCAGAAATGAAGAAGACTGCCTATGAAATAAACCAAAGGACTCGTGCATTCCAGATAGGAAAAGGCCTTGGAACTTAGATTAAGTCAAAAGGAACAAAACCAAACTGGAACACATATCCTAAAGCAAGAGAAAAATCAAATATGACAGAATTTCTGACACAGGTCAACAGGTTTCCACGAGGCTTCAGAAACATGCAGAGCGTTGAAAAAGAACCAGAAATTGAGAAAAGAAGGGCAACACTGCCTGACTGAAAAATAACAACTGTGAGGCAGTTTTGAGGCAGAAAAAGAGACCTGAGCAACTACACTTCATCAACTAGAATATTAAATATGAAATAAAAAGTCTATGGAGGCAAATACGAGAAGGAAAAAAGCCCAGCAGCATGTATTTAATAAAAAGAAGATCAGACAAGCAAAACTCAATGTTCTCTGGGCAAAGGATATCTAGCTTTATCTGGGCATCAATAACATCACATGGTGCCACATGAAATATTGCTACCTACGATGCAAAGAAGGAAGTTAGCAAGAAAGTTCTACAGTAATATAGAACTGGCCAAAGGACAGCATCAGCAAAATGAGAGCATCGATTAAGGGTTGCTATTAAAAATGCTCATCTATGTATGCTGGAATCCACATCTTTAAACAATTTTATTGATTCTGGCAGAAGTCAAGGAACACTCTTGAAATTCCTCAATAAAAATTCAGAAATCAGAGGTCACGAGAAAGATACAGAAAAAAACAGCAATAAGAACTGAGACAGACCCACAGACCAACTGTGTATATAACACTGGTTTTACTAGAGGATCTCTGTGTTAAACTTAACAGCCTGGCCGCAGTGCAGCTGTGAAGGGACTAACGTTAAGATATAAAGGATGAATTGCGGGCTGCCTTTTTTTTTTTTTTTTTTTTTCCTCTTCTTCTTCTTCTCCCCCCTGACATCACCTACGGTAACTGTGAGACCCTATTTGCAATGCCAAACTCAATTCTAACCCTGATCAATGCAAACTCCTTCCGGAAGGAACAAGAGTGGCTTTCCTGCAGCGGGCAGGCCGGAGGAGTCGCGGCCCGGGCACTCACCGAGCGGATCTCCAGCTGCAGGACGCAGCGCAGCACCTTTCGCGGCATGGAGCGGCCAGGCCGGGCCGGAGGTGACGGCTTCCGACCCGATCCCGAGCCGCGGGCCGGACGCCGTTGTCACGGCAACCGCCACGCTTCCGCCTTCCTCTGCGCATGCGCACAACGCCTGCGGATGGGGCCCGGGTGCTGAGGGAGGAGCCTTCGGGGGCGGTGCGCAGTGACGTCACTCCCACAATGCCCCGCTCCTCACCCTCTTCCCGCAGGGCCTTGCGCCTCCCTTCATTTTTGTTTATTTTTTTTCTCTTTTTTTTCCCCTCTTGTTAATTTTGGGTGCGTCCTCGGGTTTCCCTGACATCCCGGTTTTGGCCCCCTGGACTCACTGAGCAGTTGTCTCAGTGTGCCCGTTGTCATGTATTGCACCAACACAGTGACTGCTATCTGCAGTCTCAGACTGGGAGGAGTTCAAACCTTCGCTTATTTCCAAATTCATGAAAGCAGCTGAAGAGAGTAGAGGCAGCTCAGCGTGCCAATAACTGCTTCCAAAATAGGGCAGTGGCACAAATGTATCCCACAAATGTTTTAATTTCACATTTTCACAGACTGGCTATTAGTGCTGTAGCAACTGGACAGATCAGTACAATGGGAAAGACATTACAACAAAGGCGTGAGGAAGGAAGGATCAGCAGGGTGCTGCAAGGGAAGGGAAGAAAATTTCTCACCCACATCAGAAGATTGCAGGTCCACCGGGGAAAGCTTCAACAAGGAGGGATCTCCAAAAAGAGATCATTCCCTCATCACAGTCAGCCCTTAAATGAGGTCTAGGAGAGATGCAGCCAGGTTCCACATCTTCTGGTCACACAGCTGGATTGCCTTCACCTGTGTTTCCAGGGCTGACCTGGTCCTTTCCCCAGGTGCTCAATCAGCAGCTCAGGCTGTGACTCAACAGTTCCCATACAAGCACTATGTGATTGGGAAAGAATCACCATTCTTAGTGTGTTTTGGTTTTTAATTAATACTATATGCATATATTAAAGACATCAGAACAGTTAACAGTGGTTTCAGTTATTCCTAGAGATATATTCCTAGATTTCAGTCTGTACAATAAAACTGGAAATGTGGGCTTTCTGTCTATTTTGTCGATTACTATAATAGCTGTGAGCCTTTTTTGGTTTGTGGTTTTTGTTCAAGCAAAGGCAGGATTCTGCATTTGGGGACTGGAAGAAAAACAACCTCGTTTGAGACTTGCACACCTCTAATACCTACATTAAAGAGGGGTTTACCTTTGGATAAGAATATTTTATATGCATTACCATTCTCAAGCTTATGAGTGGCTTTCCACGATTAATAAGAAGGAAATTCTCAAAGATCCATAGCTTCATATGTCAAAACGGTTTACTACATATTTTCAGATGCCTTTCATATAGAATCATAGAAACACGAAGGTTGAAAAGACCTCCAGTTAAACCCCAGTCCACCCCCACCATGTCCACTTACTATGTCCCTCAGTCCATGTCTCCACAGTTCTTGGACACCTTCAGGGACAGTGACTCCACCACCTCCCTGGGCAGTCTGTGCCAGTGCAACACCAATATACACACGTTTTTGAGGGATAAATAATGTGTTAAAGATTGTGAGGTATGAGATTTTATGATAAGTGTAGCCATATAAGACTAGAAGACAGATAAATGCTGAAGTAAAAAATGGCATCATGTCTGTGATGAAAATTCAACATCTATGTGCAGTGACCTGGAACAGAAATGCTTTATAACCCTGGGAAAAGGAGCACAAGGCAAGGCAGAAAGTGAGTTTCAGTCTTTCTCTCTGGTAAACCAAGAAAAACCTGGGGAAGGCTGGAGGGTTACTCAGTGAGCACAGAGATGCTTCTCCATTCCTCAGATCTACAGACATTCTGCATCTCTCCACGCTGGACCTTGGAAGGGAAGGATGCTGCTGCAGTGTTTTTCCTGCCCTTTCTGCAACACTACGAAATCCATCTCCATCTTGTGGTCATGATGAAGTGCATAGTTTACTCAAATATTTGCTCTGCAGGAAGAGTGATTCAAGGAAATTCTGTCTTTCAGCACAAATCAATTTGCTAATAAGCAAAATCACAAAGGGCATGCTACTTTAACAGACCTGAGGTTTTTACTGCTGTAAAGTCTCCCTGCTGTGAAAATGAGTGAATTCCTTTGCTTTTACAAAAGTAAATCTTGTAATGCTACTTCTACTTAGTTCCTTGTAATACAAGAGCCTGGAAGAGAGCTTTGCATTTATGTTAATGTTTTTTTTCAATCTTCTCCATTTAAAATCTCCTTTTCCAGTCTTCTAAGCCCTACCACATATCTTCAGTTTCATCAAAATACTCAGTACTAAAAGATACTGGTTTAAGATAATTATTACAACAATTCTACCCTATTTTTGCAATGGTTCTCAGGGTCAGGCCTCAAGAATTTCAGTGTATTGGTATATGCTACAGCAGAGCTGAGGTTGGAAATGCACAAGAATCACAGCTGCAAACAATAAACATTGCAAAGTCCAGAATCTAAAAAAATACTGTGGATTAGAGAGAAATGGATCAGATAAGACTGGAGATCAGATAGCAAATCTAATGTCACTGAGTGTGTCAGAGATTCGCTTCTGGTTAAGAAGGCATGAATGTTTCTCTCCTTAAACTTAGGAAGAGTTACAGTGGGTACAAAGTGGTATTTCACATTTATTCTGGCTATAAGAATGAAGGAAATATAGGACATTTCCACATTTTTTCCTCCTTCTACTGCAGTTCTTGTAAGAGTGTTGTCAGAAAGCCATTTCTGCCTACTTTAAGATCTTAATGTTGTAGGAGCAGCCAAAAAAGACCTCAGCCTACGTATATGAAGTGCGTCTATTTTAGATAACATCACTGAGTGTGATTGTCTTGTCATAAATAACTGTGGAGAATTCCAGGAAGACATCTGCTCAAATAACAGCAACAAATTATGAGATATGGAAAAATTTCCATATTAGAAAAAGCAAACAAACAAAACATTAAGACTGCTTTACTTTGGAGAGCAGAAAAGTAAGATGTAATACAAAAAAAGGTACATAAGGGATTGTGTAATTTGTAGAAATGTGTTTTTCTATTTACCCATGCCTATTTATCCTTTCAAAGGACACAGACAATGAAATTAAAAGACAACACAATCAAAACTGATAGAAGAAAGTACTTTAGATAGTGGAACTCATTATAACAAGCTACATTCACCAGTGTTCAAAGGAGAATCAGAATGCTTTAGAGACCCTGTAGGACAATACCCATGTGCATTGCTTTTTTTGATCTTCTCACTCACTGCTAGGTTAAATGTGCAATTCACAAAAGTCTGTTCCTGTGCAAAGAATTGTAGTCGAGGAAAACATCCAGAAAAAGTTAAGGCTAAACAATCCCAGTGCACTACAGAGCAAAGCTGGAAGAATGTTGTAATGTGAGAGATTCTAATAGGATCTAAGGGGAGCAAAGTGAATTGCATTACTGCAGACAGTAATGTAACAGGGAAGGTAGACTGTTAGATTATTGATGAGGACAGAGGATGAAGATTACCTGAGGGTGTCAGCACACTCTTCACAAAATACATTTTCATCTAATCTTTCTACTTTGAAGCAGGAAAGAAGTTGCTCAGAAGTTAGCATTCATTAATATCCATTGCTTTAGAAAAAGACCACAATGGCTTTGTCGATCCCATCGTGGTTTGGTGTATTACGTCCATCTTGCTCTTTCCTATCCTGCAAGGACTCTATTGAGCAGAGCTCTCAGGCTTCCACGATGAACCTACAAGTTACTATGAGCAAAAGGCTGCCTGATCATTTTGTTCTTTTGGAGAAGCCATGACCTTTCTTTCCTGTGCCCTTCCAGTCTCACTCAGGTCTACTGAAGAGCATTTTTCACCATGCATCTGGAGAAACTGAGCACCTATCAGCTGTGCTGCACTGTGGCTCAGCCATTGTGTAGTGAATCTTCTGCATTGCTGCTAAGCCAAAACTCACTTTCTTGGCTATGGCCATTGACCTTCACTGATTCTTGATGTAAGTCATGCCTGCAGTAGAGAAAAAAAATAAATAAGGCAAGCTACCCAAAGACATTGAAATATTCTTAGCATGTAAGCTGTTTTTCAGGTCTGCTAAATTCTTTCTTGACTGGCTCCAGCTAAGGAAGAAATCAAATCTGATTTGATTACAGCCACTAGAGGAATATTCCAGATCTTGAATTCAGCCATGGTAATTGGAAACTTTCCTTGTAAAGGAACGATCTAAATTCATCTAAGAGATAACTTCAATGCATTCAGTTTTATGAATTCACAAATGGTACAGATACAATCAGCCAATACAGTATTAGATTTATACCCCTCGAAAGTTCCTGGGCTCTCCATTAATCAATTCAAAAGAGGTAATACTTTCCTTTGTGTTTTAATTATTTTTTTTAAATTATCTTAGATGGAGGCGTTGCCCCAGCAAAGTTTTTTGCCTGAAACAAAATTATTCTAACCAAGTTATAAACCCCTGAAAATAGGGGGTTTATAATGGGACTGCTGATAGACCCTTAACAATAGCGTTGTGAATTGCGCTGCTATAATTAATGATACTTCAGAAAGATTTATGGTCCTTAGACAGAGATAAAACAGAAATATCATTGCTTCTTTGCCTCCCATCATTTTATCCTCTATGAAATTTTATGCGAAATAAGTCAAATGAAAAATGTAAGCTCTTAATCTTTTCCCAGAGTCCTGTCTCTCACTTGATGAAGACTTTTGTAGAATAAATTAGAGCATTTTATTCCTCATGCATTTATGGCTTTGTATTTAAAAAGCAAAGAAAAGAGCATTGTCAGGTTGGCAGAACAGCACAAGACAATGGTTGTGGAGGAAGCAGCATCTTCCAGCCCTTCTTGCCAGTCCTTCTACCATCTCAGAGATGCAATTGTGGCCCTGTAGGAATGTGGAGCAGCTGGTGGGGCAGTGTCCAACATGGTGCCCCTGTGCCACAGTGAAGGCAGAATGCTGGCACTGATGGCTGTAGCTGCTGCACTGATAGCTCAGTGGCTCTAGGCAGGAAACCAAAAACTGGGCATCAATTACAGCCATTGTGTACCTTTGTGTTGAAAAAAT